AAAAAAATACATGGGAGAACATGACTTCGACCAGGAAGCACTTCCTTGGTTCTTGATTTCAAGTGATACAGAATAAGCATTTGCTTTGGTTGTGGTTCATCAACTTCCATTCACTTGACTCTGTGGTCTGTGAAAATTAATTAAACAAGCTAATTCAAAGAGCTTATCAATGCTACTGTGATGGTTTTAATGATCAAATATGTATTTAAATTGTTTCTTTTTAATCAAAGGTTGTTTTCCAAAAAAAAAAAGAGAAAAGAAAAGAAAAATAAGTAGTATCAGTATAATACAATATTAAATGCAGGTAGTGATGTTTAATTGGACATCAAAGTGTTGATAAATATTATTTGCTTAAGTCATTTTTGATACCTATTAATTAATATATTTTTTGTTATGTTGTGTCTAAGGATTCCTATGTAGATAAAGCATACTGTACTATTAATATAATAATTTTGTTATATTCTTTTCATGAAGACATTAAAATCAAATTAAGCCTGAGTTACTTAGTCTAAGCACAGTCACTGAAGGGCACATCCCCCACCCCCAAAAAAACTGAATTGATTCAATTTGTGTAGTAATTGTTCTTGGTAGACAGTAGTAAATAGTTGCTATATAATTGTGGATGGCTATTCTTGATTTGTCTTCATGGTCAGTTGTTTATGCTGGGTCGATTCATTTGCCAACATTATTGTCTCAATATGCTTATTACAATATAACATCATCGTATTTGATTCACAATACTCTGTGGTTATTTTGCTGTCGATAGTACTCCAGTTTGCAAGGAAAAGGCAGGGCTTCCTGGCTGTGTGTGTGGAGTGATAGAGAGACGCTTAGTGCTTCTCAATTAAGTCAAACATACCATACCATTTTTAACGTTAAATGTAACCACACACGTACCTTTAAACAGATTCGGTGCAATTTTGACTACTACTACTACTTGCACCACCATCCCTGAGATCCCCTTCGTTATATATGTAGGCTATTATAGCTTCGACGGAAACTTAAAATAGGCCTTACTGAGGACTCGTATTTGTTGATTTCAACAGAGTTGCACATCCTTAAATTTCTTTTAAGCTGTTTACGCTTAATGACACACCCATACTCTAGGTTCTTACAACATGTATCACAAAAATATGCCTGAAACCGGCTCAGATTTATCATTTGAAGAACTACTGGCCAACGCCATACTTGCAAGTGGAGTGTGTTGTTTACTATTTCATTGGACAAACGGCATAGAAGGTATTTTGTGATTGGCTGAGGGCCTTGCAGCTAAGCCAAACTTCATTGTTAGTCGTCTTCTGATTGGCTATAGTTACGTAGAAACTTTTGATATAAATTCTCATTTTTGGTTACAGTATCCCCAAATTCACGATTGCCGACAATCAAATTATGTTACAATTTAATAGTATTGACATTTTTGTGCAAAAGCCACGTAGCACGGATTGGTGGGTCACATAATTGAACGTTTTTGATCCTCAACCCACGGTCAATTCGTTTTATCGCAAGTTTTATTCAAATTTTCCGGATTTTTTGGAACATGATTATTGACAAACGAAGCAGGAAAACTGCGTCGGGGGTGTAGAGGTTAAGATATTTGCCTTCCAAGCAATCGTCCCATGTTCGATTACCGGCCGACACAATTCGTTTTATTGCAAGCTTTCTCCAAGTATACCTGATTTTTCAAGAGTAACATCATTGACAAGCGAAACCACAATGCGTCGGTGGTGTAGTGGTTAACATAGTTGCCTTCCAAGCAGTTGTCCCGGGTTCGATTCCCGGCCGACGCAATTCGTTTTATCGAAAGTTTAATTGTCTTGTTTCTTGTTCGAAACTGAATATGTGCGTCGGTGGTGGGGTTAACATAGTTGCTTTCCAAGCAATTGTCCTGTTCGATTACCGGCCGACACAATTCGTTTTATTGCAAGTTTTCTCCAAATATACCTGATTTTTCAAGAGTAACATCATTGAAAAGCTAAACCACAATGCGTCGGTGGTGTAGTGGTTAACATAGTTGCCTTCCAAGCAATTGTCATGGGTTCGATTACCGGCCGACACAATTCGTTTCATTGCAAGCTGTGTCCAGTTTCCAGATTCTTTAGCAGCAAGATCATTGACAAATGCACGGGGAAATATGTGTCGGTGGTGTAGTGGTTAACATGGTTGCCTTCCAAGCAATTGTCCAGGGTTCAAATTCCCGGCTGTTGCAATCCGTTTTATCGCGAATTCTCCCAAAATTTACCTGATTTTTCAGAAGTAATAACATTGACAAACGAAATCACAATGCGTCGGTGGTGTAGTGGTTAACATATTTGCCTTCCAAGCAATTGTCCCGGGTTCCATTCCCGGACGACACCATTCGTTTTATTGAAAGTTTTGTCCAGTTTCCTGTTTTAGGAGCAAGATCATTGACAAACGTACCAGGAAATATGCGTCGGCTGAGTAGTGGTTAACATAGTTGCCTTCCAAGCAATTATCCCTGGTTCGATTCCCGGCTTTTTCAATTCGTTTTATCGCACGTTTTCTCAAAATATACCTGAATTTTAAAGAGTAATAACATTGACAAGCGAAAACACAATGCGTCGGTGTTGTAGTGGTTAACATAGTTGCCTTCCAAGCAATTGTCCCGGGTTCGATTCCCGGCCGGCGCAATTCGTTTTATCGCAAGTTGTGTCCAGTTTCCAGATTTTTTAGGAGCAAGATCATTGATAATCGTACCAGGAGATACTGTATGCGTCGGTCGTGTAGTGGTTAACATAGTTGCCTTCCAAGTTATTATCCCTGGTTCGATTCCCGGCTTTTGCAATTCGTTTTATCGCAAGTTTTCTCCAAATATAGCTGATTTTTCAAGAGTAACATCATTGACAAGCGAAACCACAATGCGTCGGTGGTGTAGTGGTTAACATAGTTGCCTTCAAAGCAATTGTCCCTGGTTCGATTCCCGGCCGATGCAATTCTTTTTATGGAATATTTTGTCTGTTTAAGGAACAAGATTGTTGACAAACAAACCAAGATATGTTCGTCGGTGGTGTAGTGGTTAACATTTCCAAACAATTGTCTTGGGTTCGATTCCCGGCCGACGCAATTCGTTTACATATTTCTTATTTTCTAGGAGTAAGATCATTGATAAAAAGAACCGAATTTGCGTCAGTGGTGTAGTGGGTAACGTTATCTTCTAAACAATTGTCATCGGTTCGGTTCCCGGCTGAAACAATTCGTTTTATCGCAAGTTTTGTTCAAATTTTCTTGATTTTTTTGGAGCATTGACAAACGAACCAGAATATTTGCGTCGGTGGTGTAGTGGTTAACATACCGGGTATTGCCTTTCAAGCAATAGTCCCGGATTCGATTCCCGGTCGGTGCATTTCGTTTTATCGCAAGTTTTGTACACATTTTTCTTATTTTCCAGGAGCAAGATCATTGACAATCTAACTAAGAAGTGTGTTTCGGTGGTGTACTGGTTAACATAGTTTCCTTCCCAGCAATTGTCCTGGTTGCAATTCCCAGCCGACGCAGACACAAAAGTCAGATTTTGCCTAACGACTGAAATTTTGTCGGGAATGGGGCTTTAAAATAAGAAGAAACTCACTTCAAAACATGGCACACAACGTACGCTGAACTGTTCATCTGATCTGGGAAAATCAGGCAGGGCTTATGCAGCTTTATAATTGAACTTAGAGTAGGCTGGTTTCCCCCCGGACACTTTATTTTGACTTTTGCTCCTTTAGGTCGATTGTCCTCCAGACTTTACCCCCACCCCCCTGTATTTAAATTCTATTATACATTTAAATTCATAATAAATGTTACTTGTTTAGTTTACTTGATTAGTGCAATAGATAGCAAGACTGAAGGCTGATTGGTAAGATCCAGACTCAGTGTTCATATTTTTTTGCAGATTTATGGTGAATAAATTATTAATTATTTTGTATATGTATACAGTATCAATATAAAAAATATGCCTATATATTGTGATTAAAATTATTCAGATTATATCATTATTTATTTGCTTTCTGAGTAGACAATTGACAATGCTTTCGAGTTTTGTGTCCCTAGGTTAGTCCTTTTTAGTAGGGTTTTTGCACTGAGGTTAATTAGCCTCGTTTGATTAATTTTTATTAGGCCCTATTTTCAACTTTTGTCTTTGTGGGCAAATAGTAAAATATGTGATATTAAATTAGTGTATTATTATTATTATAAAATATATAAGGCGTAAACAAATCAGTTCAAAATTGTATACTGTAACCCACAAAAACTCAAGAACTTAAAACATTATACTGTAATCAATTAGAATAGGTCTATGGATTCAAAAAATACTTGTAGGGTAAAGGTCACAATACTTATAATAAAAGTAATATGTTTGTAATTGTGTTTAAACTATATTAAATTGATTAATTTAGATGTAGGCATATCATGCCATTGCAAAGATCAATAGATCTATTCTGGAATTGTATTGTGATTGTTATAATTGCTAACCCACACACACTTTGTTTGTTGATTTTTAGAATAACTTTTGAACAAATGTAAGAGGTTGAATCTAATTACATTCCCAAAATTAATCAAGCTTTTAATATCCTCACTGTTAGCCTAATTTTATTAATACTGTGTGTATTAAAAACTATTATTAATAAAAATATCGATTATTATGGCCTACTGTTATCATTTGATATTTTATCATCATAATTATCATGGTTAAGGGATTCAATTATTTTTAAGAATATTATTAATATTTTCCTATGCCCTTTATTACCTGGTACACTTTTCTATATAGGAGGCATTTTTGTCAATATTTAATAACATAAAATAAGATTTTAGGCTCTTGATGATGTACGTACACATTATTCCATAAATCAGTAAGATTTCATAGGCCTGGGCTAGCCCCAGATAACTTCGAATCGAAATACTCGAGCGTCGCACTATAAAGAGCCTGCTCTTGGTTCCGACACGGTATCCATCGAGCGGAGTTTCATGTAAGGTAAAAAAATATCTCCTCCTGGATGTTGTTTATGAGCCCTCTAATCTGTATGACAAGAGAAAATAGCAGCTGGCCGATTGATATTATAGCGCATGGCAGCCGTCTTAACCTACCTGACTGATTAATTTCTGAATAGGCTTATTAATTTCTGAATAGGCCTATTATTGGTCATGTTGAATAAAGGTATCTTGTCAGTCCGAGTAAACCTCATCAGCATTGATTAATTGGCCATCCATTAACTTCGAAATTTAAATTAAATTTAATTTAATTTAATTTAAATTTCGAATTTCGAAAGCCATTGGAAATTTCTTTGAAGAACTACAGTATTATATCGTGAGCAAGATCGTGAGTTACAAAAAGTAAATTTTTAGTGGGATAAATATTTCAAGACAACGATTTAGTCTGACACTAGGCTGACTTACAAAATCGGCCTGCGGAGGCACCATTTTAGTCGAGGTGCTTTTTAAAAACACGAAATGACGTCATTATGAGGTTTAAGCTCGAACTTACGACTAAGTTTTAACAACACCGGGATGAGTCTATACAAAGTACTGTTTTCGTTGGTATACGCATTGCCTAGGTTTAAGAAATCATTCAAAAAGCCATCTTGAACTATTATACTAATACTTTTATTTCGGCCAACCTATGTCGACAATTTATTGTGCAATATTTCATCTTTTATTTATGTACAGTATATATAAAAATTAATGTTGACATTGATTATACACTTAGTTAAATAATGTTTACAGTATAGTAGTAACGATCTTACAGTTTGGGTTAAAATTGTATCTAATACAGGGGCGGATCTGGGTTCAAATTTAAGAGGAATCAAAATGTTCCTAACAACCCCCCGGGATAACGTTGATTCCTAGATGGCGGGAAATGAGATTTCCCGACTTCTGAAGTGTTTTTAATGACTTTTTAGCGGTAGGGGAGGCAGGGGAAATTTTCTTTTCCGTCGGACAGTTGTGGACCCCTGTCGTTCGACGCCACGACTAGGTCGACAGATCAAAAATAGAAATAATAATAATTTACCTATTCAAATAACGTTATTTTGATTGCGCCCTAATATTGTGGTCTAAAAGCACAATTAATTGGACCATACTAAAGACCTGTTTATACTTCAACGATAACGATAACGATAAAAAAGCTAAAAAGCGATTGTTCATATAGAAAACAAAAGAAAAGAGAAGTTTTTACACTAGGACGATTCGATAACGATTTATCGTGTGGGCCATGATATCAAAATATAACAAATCAAATCAGATGACGTCATAATCAGGGAAAAACGATAAAATCGTTGCTACTACTACGATTTTAAATCTGATTTGATTTGTCAAAATAGTTTGTTATTGCATAACTGATAAACCGTTATCGAATCGTTCTAGTGTAAAAACTTCTCTTATTTCTTTCATTTTCTATATGAACAATTGCTTTTTAGCTTTTTTATCGTTATCGTTATCGTTATCGTTGAAGTATAAACAGGCCTTTAGCCATAAAAAATCTCCCCGTGAACCCTACCAGGGATTTTTTTTTATTCCGGGCCGTCGACCGAGGCTCTAGTCGGTCTTTTGGTTCGGACCTCTCCGTCGGCACATTCCTAGCGCCACCGTTGTTAACACCACCAAATTATTATTGAGGAAACATCATAACACAAATCTATATCACATTTGCGTTGCATAACATTGTTAAGTCTTTTAAATCACGATTTTAATTTTTCGACTGGCGTCCACTTTCTAATATAACTACTACATACACCCAACCTCGAACTTCAGTGTGACGACAACCAATGAATTTGTGAATATAATTTAACATTATACAGGTATGAACACTGTTATATCTATACGTGGGTATTTCTGCAAGCCTTGTGGCCTCAATCAGTGACATTCATAGTTGGGTTCTAAAATCCAAAGGTTTTTTAATGCTCTGTTTTTACATTATATAGAATATGTTTTAATAAGTTCTTACAGAAAACGCATAGTTAAAGATACATAACGTGCTTGAATAATAAGATATATTATGATTATATATCAGGCGAACTTAACGTATCAAAGTGTCTATAACTAACTACTGACACAGTATCTTTAGTATTGACGATTGCACCATTTTGTGTGCTAGGTTTGTTATTGCTTTCAGTGCCCCGAGATCCAAGAGTAACTATCGATCCTGCGACAGTTACAAGCGAAACTATTTTGAGAATACCTGCCATCAACAATGTGTATTGACTAAATGATTCGTTGTCGTATAACCAACATGTTCCATTCGAACCGTTACATTCCTTCTCCCATAGTAAGCACTGACCATCGATTATAGCACCAAATATGATTGGTCCAGGTACGGTTCCTACAAAAATACATATTTGCCTTCTTTTTAATAACTCCATGTTATTAAATAGTTCATTCATAGTTTATTTCATAGTTTACTGATAAATTATTTTGAAAAATATACAAAAAAAAAAAGAAAAAAACAAAGTGAACTTGGAATAGTTGGAATAGCTTAGTGGTTAAGAAGCTTGTTTTCCAACCCCAAGGTCCTGTGTTCAATTCTTGTCACGGTAACATGATTTTTTTTTTATCTAAACAACCATTGCATAAATAGAAATGAACGATACTAAGGATAATTTACAGTTAGTTTGCCCAACTAACAATTTTACCTTATAATATAATTATAAAGTAATTTCTGACTAAATAAAGTTGCAAACGTTTGTACAACGTTGTGGTAACGTAATTTTCTGACATAACGACGAAATTCACGCATGTTATAATAACGTTTTGTAGTTTTGGGTGGGGTTGAGGTGGGGTGGGGTTAGCATACCTAGTAACCTGTACATAAGAGACTGGATCCCAAGACCGAATGCACGCTGCTCATGATCAACAATCCTATCAATAAAAAAAACATATTGAATATACACACATGTTAAAAAATGTATTTTAATAATAATTTATTCAGTCATTCATCAATTCACTTTATTTCATAAGTCAATACACTTACATACAAACATACACAATAAATAATAATACTGTATTAATTTAAAGCCGAAAATAGATATAATAGTACAGTAATAATAAAAATGGTAATTATGTGATGATAATAATGACAATGTTGATGATGACGATGATAATAAGGAAGCGGTTGAAGATGACGTTGAGATGTTAATGATGACAATGATGATGACGGTGTTCATGATAATGTCAACGATAGTAATTGGTATTGTAATTAATAACTACCGCATATATTATTATAATGTGACAATGTGGCATACACTTATGAGGAGACATCATCGAACCGCACAAAATGTGGAACTTTATCTTTGTTTGAAAATGCAAGTGATAGCTTACCGTAATACAGCCGTTGTACCTGGGACAATTGCCATGAATGTTGTAATCATTTGAAAGAATAACAAGGTCAAGAAAAGCGGAATTAACGGGCAGTCAATACTACATCTAACAGCTGATCCCATTGGCTCATTAGCTTCGACAGTAACATTCATACAGGCGCAATCAAAATATTCCTAATAAACGTAGGTATTGTAAGAAAAAAGAGTATAGTTAATGTATTTTTTTAACAATGAACCGTGTGGTACTTTCCATGTATATGATCATCATTTTAAAAATCACCAGAACCATCATCATTTCATTTTGATCATTCAGAATGTTCCTTAGATGGGCATGAAAACAATATCGGGTTTTTTTTCTAATCTGTTTGATGTGTGTAGATATGATCATTTTTAAGTGTAACAAATGTGTCTCTGTTAAGTGAGTGAATTTTAACGCGAGAGTGAAAATGAAATGATTTCTGTAGGTAGGCCTATTCTCTTGCATTTAGAGAGTAACCCATCACTGATTTATGTCAGTGGAATAGGAGATTTAAACCACAATTGAAAAACCTTTGAAATGGCATTAACTATTAAATAAGAATGTATAAAATGTCAATATAGTTTTAACAAGTTTGTTCCAGGTTCTGTACGTATGACACCTAAAGAGGGCGATATAAATAACAAGCAAAGTCGATTCTCACAAGTATGCCTTCTTTATTTTCGTTGCTAAAAGTACACCCAGCATGGCATCCAGTGTAATACATGACCTCATCTACACCACATACCGGATCGTACGCCTGCGAACATCGGCAATCTACATTGCAGGATGCAGTTATATTTGACGGCATGTCTTTTGGATATGCTAGCGATCTATCACCAGAGGAAGAAAAGTTAATCATTAATTATGTATTACTGCAATAACTACTAAATAAAACTCCAATTAATATTGATAGCAAATAAGAACACTTAAGACTTTTGTGTTTTACAAATTTCAAACTATTAAACCATTTCTGTAATGGCGAGTATAACATCAGTAATTCGAAGATTATGTGTCAGGAGATTTATAGATGTTTTACTGAACCTACAATAACAAGTCAGATTGAGCAAAACATCACTCATATTATTAACTTAACATCAGTAATATTATCATAATCAGCATAATTATATAGGCCTATTTTAATGTTTAGTAAATCGAGGTTGATTACAAAAAGACAATAATATAATAATGATTATTATTATTATTATTATTATTATTATTATTATTATTATTATTATTATTTAATACCGTAATTATTACTAAATAACATAATATTATTATTTTTAATTAACTTCGCATTAGGTTATAACAAAATACAGTACTTTGAACAAAATGATGCCGCTTACTTATCGATGTACTGGGTTGTAACTCCAGCAAATTTAACATTATCGCAGTAGATGAAGAAACAAGCAAGAAGAAGAGTCGACACCGATAGGGTAGCCAAGACAAACTGAAGCATCCCCCTAACAGAAAGTTTAAACCGCTTCACTACCCATCCACCTAACAGGGTACCTCCGACTCCAGCGGGGATGACAACAGCACCTACATTTGGTTGAAACAATCAAAACTTATGGCTTCAAAGGGACTATTCAAGTTGATTATTTTAAAGATGTTAAACCTTCTAAAAAGTCTTTGTAATTTCTATAGTTTTGTTGATTTTTGTACGCGTTTGTATAGTGAATAAACAAATACGAATTATAGGCCTATATAGGCCTATAGAGCCTGGTTTAGATAAAATTGCTACAGGATATCGCCGACAGGTCGGTCGAATCTGAAATCCTTCCAGATTACGACGGGGACACTGTAGTGATTTTATGGAAACCTGGCTTAAGGTTAGAACTTTTAATATTCTGTGGAAGGGGTTGGCGCAACGGTTGTGTTTCGAACTCTCAACCGATTTCGGGGTTCAAAACCCTCGCTGTGTAAGTCGCCTGTGTCTTTAGGCAAGATATGGGATAGTAAAACAGACTTGGAGGAGTGGCGCCCCCCCCCCCCCCAACACACACACTAATCATTAAGAAAGATGAGCACTCTGCCCTGTCAGACCGGGGCTTTACCTTTTCCTTTACCTTTACATTTAATAGTCTGCTTGTTTGGCACAGATTATGAGGACAGTATTTAAAAAAATAGAAATAAATGCACATCATAAAATCGACAATTATCCTTGTTGTAATTAACTCACCACATATTCCAGCCGCTAGGCTTGGAGATATATTGAATTGGGATTCCATGTATTTCGGACCGAAAACAGCCATGGCAGCTAAGATGAACCATTCTGAACACGTTGATAGATTTAACATCATGTACGGGATGTTCTTCACTAAGTTCCAGACGGCTGCCGGGAAGTTCTTTATACTAGCACCGCCGTAACTCGCTCGAGTTAACATGTCATCGTCGTCGTCCTTGTTCTGATTCAGAGCCCGTTCTTTAGCGATTAATTTTGCACCTTAAAATAATATTATATAATGAACAATATACTGTTTGAGTAGAGATAATAACTTGAAATAAAATGTAATTTGTTAATTACTTACATTGTATATTAGATTTCAGATAAAAATGATTACGAAAACATATCGTCGACAATTAACAGACGAACATCCGTTTTTTATTCTTTGCTTATAATGCGACGACAAATTAGCCAATCAATTGAACATTTTAGCAATTAGTAAGCAGTGGCGGCGCTAGGACTTCCCTGACGCAGGCAACGCCCCTGACAGACAGGGCAACAGTGGCGGTGGAGAGTTGGCACCACTCCCAAATGAGAACATTTTTAAATATAATAAGCCGCTATAGACGCTCATACAGAGAAAGGTGTTTGGGACGTAATGCCAAGTCCAAACTTTCATTTTTTTAAATATGATCACGCAAGGATTTTCCATTAAAGTCATTATTAACAACCTGTCAAAATGCCATTTGATGGTGTTTTTTCTCTCTCATCATTGGCGTCCAAACTATTCATTTATATAAGCCTATCCAATTCAGGCCAACATTTGATAAACGTCGTTTTAAGATATATTTTTTTATCCCCCGACGAATCTCTCCTAACTTTCCCGACCGGGGGTGGGGGGAGCCCTCCTAGACATACCCCTCCCCCCTCCGTAGCGCCGCATTGTTAGTAAGTAAAAGACATTACGTTCTAATCACTTTAGTTACGGTACTCTTTTAACTTACCTGGCAGAGCTCTAGGATAACCGAGTAATGGAATGGAAACAAGTAAACAGCAAGATCCACTGACAAGAAATCCGATCCACCAAGCACCAACCCATATTGGACTTTCACGTGATATACCATGACTTAAAAACAATAACTCAAATATATTCATTGTCAACACAGACTCAAAATCAGAGGTGGATCCAGGAATTTTAAATAGGGGTTAGGGGGCTATAGAGGAACATTCACAGATGGAGGGTTATAGAGAGTTTATGAGTAATGGTACTCTCAGAGTTAAATGTGAATATAATTTCCTTTTATTCTCTTCTTGTTGATGGGTCCGCGCAAGGCGCTGACCCCAGAGAGTCCCTGCTGTTCTTGTACTTGTTCTTGTTACCAGAACTTTAAAGGCGTCCAGCGTTGCCAGTTTTGAACGGACGTGCAGGAAATTTTGTACACATAAACTAGAGGTGATTTCCAACAAACGTTCATCGCCCTTATTATAAGTTGATCCCCAGGGTTCCCCCTACACCTACAAAACTAAACACGTGTTTCAGCAAGGACTGCACATAAATGCCATTACCAATAATAGGACACCTCGATTGGATGTCGCATTCGATTGAGGATAAAAAAAAAAACTTAAGGTTGTGAGTTCGATTCGCGTCTTCGTATTTATTTATTTTTTGTTTTTGTTTTTTGCAATTTTAAGAAATTTTAACTTTGTACAAATAAACATTCTAAATAATAAATTGTTTTGTACAAATAAACATTCTAATTATTTAAAAATGTCTATCTTTTTAGCTTTTCCAAAACAAAAAAAAAACAAGAACAAAAAACAATAGGCCCTATAACTTGCGCCTATACCGATTTTAAGCGTGGAGGAACGCGCGGACCGGTGAGCGGTCGCTCTTGTTATTTTGATATTTTGAAAAATTTAGGGGAAAGGAGCTAGCCGAATTCTCCCCCCCCCCCACTCGAATTAGTAGGCCCACAAAGATTCAGATTCAGGATGTTTATTGTTAAAGTACCTAATGATATAGGCCTACTGTACTTTTGGGTGACTTAGGAATGAGAACTTATAATAATCTTATAAAGCAGAAATTTAGTATTGATTATTGAAAGTGAACTATAATGGAATATCGGTACCCTGATGACTTTAGTTTTCAAAGGATCTGATGAATTTAATTATTAGTTGCTACGGTACTGGACTAAGTGATCAACTATGGAGTAAATCCGTTGTTCGAATTTACGACTTGGTGTTTATTGTTTCTATACCACCATGTTATAATAATAATTTCAATGTTTTCAGGATCAAAGACGTCGAATTCGAATTCTACTGTGGAAACTATGCAATGTTCTACCCTGACTGTCCATAGGTTTTTGCAACCCTCGGTGGGTGATAGAAGAGCAAGATCGAAGATCAATAGCCCCAAAATATCACGGTCATGTCATTTTTAGTGCTATTATAGGCCTTAAAATAACCTAAAAAGCATATAAATCTTCTTTTTAATAACATTTCTTTTTCATTTTAATACAGTATTGACGAAGATACTAGTTTGATATGGAGTTGTACAAAATTCTGTACTTACTCTGCCGGATCTACTCTAACGTCGGTGTAAATTGTAAGATATAGTCCGCCAAGCACATAGCCTAACGCTGGACCCAATATTGATATTGCATTGAATATACCTGAATATGAAAGAGACAGCAATTACCATGCATGTGAAATGCAGAACGACGCCGACTCAACCTTACGTTAAGCAAGCATGATTTTATATTGTATTTACTATAGGCTCCCTGTTCCCTGGCGTTTTTTTTTTCGCTGTTGGGAGTGAAATGAAATAAATAAAAAAAATTAAAAATAAATAAAAATATATAAATCATAATCGACGTTATTATTAGTATGAAATTAACTATTATCAAAAATATTAATTATTATCAAATATATAGGCCTAAAATAATATGTCAGTAGGTCGAAATATTGAATCCCGACAGAATGGCGTGCATTTCGATACTTGGAGTATGTATTATACTATATTACTATCTTAGGTCTAATAATAATACCAATATTAATAATAATTAATATTAATATTTTTATACATACTAGGCTATTATTCTATTAATATTTCTATCAATAATTATACAATAATAATAATAATAATATTAATAATATAATTTATCAATATTAATAATACTAAAATGTCAACGTACCTATATACATAGCTACCAACTTAGATGTCACATTATCATCCAAGTAGGTAACCCCAAGAGTATACAGTGGTGACGCACCAATCCCGTGAAGCAGTTGCGCGAACACAAACACCCAGTAGTACGAAGACAGACTTGTTCTTTTACCACTGTCCTCATCTATACAAGAAGGTATACTTCGATTGGCATCACATGTTGAGACGTTATCAATGCTCACTCCACTTTCCCCTCCTTTATTATGGTAGTAGTCTGTCGTGAAATGAGGGAGAGAAAATGTATAGCATCCGAAACCGAATATTATAGCCCCGATACCTAAAAGTTTTGGCTTGTGCTGTTTCTCACCAAAGTAAGTGACAAATATAACAACAAGCGTAACGGAAAAATCGTAACAGCTAGAGATCGAGCCGCTTCGGACACTTGGGAGTTCAAAACGTTTTTCTAGCGTGGTTGTGTCCACGTATATCAAGCCGTTGACCGTCATACCTTGAGCCATTGCGAACAAGCATAGAAAGAGACAGAATCCCTTTGGGGAATTTAACACTTGGGCCCACTTGGGCCGCCATGAGCCCCAACCACATGTTGGAACATCATCATCTATAAATCCATTGCCTTCTTCTTTCGTAGTGTTCTCATTCACAGAACCACCAACCAAGTCTTTATCTGTGGACTGTGGCTCTGTCTCAATATTTTCAACAATATTCTGTTTGTCCAAATTGCCATTTTGCATTTCGGCCTCGTCCACGCCGATGATAATGGACCCTCCCCGGGTGGCAACCGTCCGTCCAAACTCTTCTCCATCCATGACCACCAAAGGGTGAAGCAGAAATTGTTGGAAATGCTAGTGAAATTTTAGTCTGAGAAAAATCATACACACATTTATTTCAATTGGTAATCTAAAGAATAATCACGAACAGCTGCAATAACGAACTACAGGCGCACGGGATACAAACATAAATAGCTTTAACAGCCCAACACTGTACTTTAATTACATAAACATTCTATAAGCAATAGTATTCAAAGAATAGGCATGGTATACAACGAAACATTGGTTTGGTTTGACAGTAGGCCTATACCATAAACGATGTCCGAACTTCCTTATTAGTCCTATTTTACTCTAGGCCTACTCTAAGCATATTTATGAAAAAACCTCACCCGTTGTTTTCGATGTTGTTAATATTATCTGAGGAGTGTTCTTTCGGGTTAGGCATGAACATACACAATCAGTAAGTTTGTGTAATCATTACAGAGATAGGCTAATGTTTATTCCTTTACGCACGGATGAGTTCACCTGGATACGCCCCCAATTAAAGGTGAATCGTAATCTAAAAAAAAACTTTCCATTAGTGTTGTCAATTGTCATATTATGAACATTGCGATGAGAACCTATAAATTTATGATGATAATTATGATGACAATGAAAATAATAGTGAATGATACTGATGCATAATGATGATGATGATGATGATGATAATGATGATGATGATGATGATGATGATGATGATGATGATGATGATGATGATGATGATGATGATGATGATGATGATTAGGATGAGTATGTTGATGATGGTGATTCCTCAAGCGTATTTTTCATTTCTATTGTATTATTAGATTTAATAATTTGGATTTCAAAAGATGATTTTGCAGCAGATTCTTTTGTACATTTTTAAAAATTTCAATATCGTATGAGCTTCCAGTTTCCTACGCTGTAATACCATGACTTTGACTTTGTGTAGGACTAAAGTTTTATGTAAATGTTTGCTTTGGTCTAAGCAGAACAGCTATCGTTGTCTGTGAAGCAAATTAAAATGATGCTTAAATTTAAATTGAATTATTGATAAGCTGATTGCCTTTAAAATAGATAGGATACACTAATGATATTGCTTCGAAACTGTAGCTTAATTTCTTTAATCTGTCGTCAGATTAGGATGGTGATGTTCAAACCAGACAAACCACCTTTAAAGGGCGGTGTTTACCCACTATAACAACTCCCTGGTTTACCGTAGTGTAACTAAAAGATAACCGATCGTATGATCCAACTGGCTTACCGTCTACGTCACATTCTGTTCACCACACATCTCATCGCTAAATTCTGCACAGTTTAGGGTTGATTGGGTGGGAATTTATATAGTTATGAAATGGGGTAAGCATATAATTAAACCAGTGTATTTCTTGGTTCAAAAATGCACACTATGTTAGGCAGGTATATCACGTGAGATGTGCAATGAAGAGAATTAGAAATATTGCTAAATTTGTATGACAAATATACTACAGATTTTCATTGTAAGACGACGAAGATACTGTAGCTTAATTTATTCCATCATGAACTCCTTTTTTAGCAAGAGATTACAATGACCATAGTAACCAGTAATTCGTGATCCAGTGCCGACAACTTTTGTCTTTGTTGATCACAATCATATTATCTCTGTATATTTGTAACATGGTTATTCTGCTTTTTCTTTTTCTTTTTTTTAATGGATTCTAATTCAATTCATGTCAACAAATTTTAAATCAAAAATTGATTTTCTTTTTGTTATGACGTTATGGTATCTTGTATGGCTTTGCGGATACCCATTATGCCTAATGTGTTGGACTTTCAGCATGCTTCCTTTTTATCAGGAGTAATACACGGTTAAGTGTGTACTCAAGGCTGGTAGATTATTAAATATTAACCGACTGACGTTTTAATCACAAAGTGCGCGTGATGTATATTAATGTAGGATAGTCTACTTTTAATTCATTAGGCCTAATATTAAAGCATATTCATTTCATGCTCACAGCAACTGTTCCAAAGGAGCAATTTCTGATTATTGTTTTTAATTTTCTTTCATCACATGCAAATACAATACCTTTTGAACTTAATTATGAAAACTTAAAAATTATAAACAACACATCTTAATTTTTTCTGAAAAACAGTCATTTACTTTATAAACTACGAAATCATTTTACTTTTTCAACATAAACACATGCCTTCACCGTAAATCTAACTATACTGCATAATATTACATTACTGTTAATTTTTCCAACCATGCGACTGACTGCGCTGTTTCTACCATAGAGAAAATAACAATAGTTGAGGATCCAAAAGTTCAAACCAGAAGTTTATAATGCATACACTAGAGCTAACGATCCTACAGTATTTATCTACCACAATGTATGCCAACCTACAGGCTGGATCATATATTATTTTTTAAATATTCTTCAATGAGAGGGACTTGGATGATGATTTTTTGTACGCAGTGGTATAAAGCTACATTACATAGAATCGAAAAACACAATGAGGTTTAAAAAGATATGCATATTCTATACAGTAATACTTAATACTTACGAAGTCAAATTTAGATTGCGTAAGCACTGAAAGTGACGGTTATGTGCTTTACATTGAAGTCTCCCTTTTGTGTTTATAGAGAATGTCAAGCAGTCGAAAATGCGCTGATGTATGATCAGTCTCCATTTCGGAACTTAATACCAGAATTTTATTAAGAACACGAAACTTAATACCAGAATTTTATTAAGAACACTCGTTGATTTTTCTCTTTTCTTTAAAATGTTCTATCAGACTATTGGCCTTTTCGGTGTTGGCCACTAGAGTGTGTTTTTATTATGGAATTATTTCCGAACTACACTCCACTACTTCATGGTTTTTTTGTCCTACGATTTCTTTTAATTTTCGTTGGGTAACTATCGTAAATATTATTTATTGAAATCCTTGGTAAATATTTTGACTTTGTTTATCGATCATATTGGTTACTCGTCAATATTAGGCTGCCTGCATGAGAATTTATCACATAAAATAATAAATTACAGTACGCCTTCCAATTCGATACCCCCCTTTAATTCCAAGAACTATCTAATTCTAGACCACTTTTTCGAAATACCAACTGACCACCTATAGAATCTTTTAACAATGACACCCTCTAATTATGAGACCCCTCTTGTTAGAGAACTAGACCACCTTTATGGAAGTTCCAAGTGACAAAATGATCTCCAAATCAAGCCAAACAAATTCAAGTTTTTTTAACAACAAATATTAATTTGAAAAATTGAACTTCAACATTTATTTTCAGAAGTTTATACAATAACGGTTTCTTATGTGTATTATCTTATCTCTTTATCGGACTGTATAATGAGACCAACAATTGTTCTTGTGTTGGCTGCGTTTTGGGGGAATCCCAAAAATGGGTAGGTCGGTAGGAAAATTTTTTTTTTTTTTTTTTTTTTTTTTTTTAACCAATAATATGACGGTTCATGAATGAAAAGTAGAAAATACACAAAATTACAACAAAGTCCGTTTTTGAATCTATATTGAAGAGCAAAACGATCGCATAACACTGTCGCATCGCCTCCGTCCAGGAAGATAGTTCTATTACAGGCTTTTTAGCCCATTAACCTCAATTTCGTACGTTTGGGTCGGTCATGCGTGGCCAACATTTTTAGTTTTTTGGCCTAATAATGATCATATAGAAATTAAATAATCTATAGTCGAATCAACTCGAATTTGATGAGCGCCCCCATTCTAATCTGACATCCTGTCTGACACCACTCCAGTCCAGATGAGAGGATGAGAGACTAGCTAGCGAAGCTAAGCTTACAGGCAGATTGCACACATCAACATACAGGCCCGGTTGACCCAGTTCACGCCTGGCTCTACCACCCTGTCCTAGCCTAGCGAGTGACCATGGTTATTTGCAAATTTTTTTTGCAAGGGTACTGTAAATTTGGGGATAAGTGCTGGAATGAACATACTCGAAACGCAGGTTTGACCACTATCTTTGATGTAATAATTTCCATGCCTAAAATATTAATATTAAAAAGTTTTTTATGCACCTAGGCTAGCCTACTAGCCTCCTAGCTAGGCCTAGGCCTAGTAGTACTGTAGGCCCAGGCTAGGCCTAGCCTAGTATGTAGTAGTAGTAGGCCTAGGCGCAGGGCTAAGGTAGGCCTACCTAGCCTAGCATAGGGCCTAGGCTAGGCTAGGCCTTAGGCTAAATAGGCCTCTATTAATATATGCCTAGCTAGCCTACCTAGCCAAGTCGGAATACGCCAGACTGCATGCAGAGTGCTACATCATGTAACTCTGTCTCAATCAAGCCTTGTTTAATTAATTAAGCCTAGGCTAGACCATCCATAGATAGTTAGATAGATAGACTTATATTAGAGGGTCAGTAGTACTATTAGCCTATACTAATTCGAAGTGTCTATGCTTACGCCGAATTGTAAGCATTAGTCATAGGCTATGCTTACGCTGATCTATTGAGCATGCGCAGGGGTGGCGTAAGCATTATTTCGAGGCTATGCTTACGCCGATCTATTACTGAGCATGCATAGGGCCGGCGTAAGCATATAGTGGCATATAGTGGCTATGCTTACGCCGGATTGCTAGTCAACGTAAATAGTCAACTCGTTGATCTGCTTACTTTTTCACGTTGTCGAGGCATTGCTTTGTCTAGTCCACAGTTTTCCAAAAGAACAGGCATCGTCATGAACTGAGGCAAACATATTAGTACATTCCCACACGAGGACCCAATTCTAGCTTACCTAGTTTCTGTAGCACTTGCCTATTTAGCCTGCCTTAATTCACTTTACTCAAGTACTCCATATCATCCTTGTGTAAAAATATTTGACCTGTGCCAAGTTCTTGTACTTTCCTCATGAGTGCCATCTGTTCATTGTGATACAGTACTACTTCATTGTTAGGTAGGCCTATCTAGCCCAATTTATGTTGATATTGATACAATACTATATCTGAAATAATAATGACAATGTATCTATGTATGATGTGTAGAATGTTGGAGATGACCTGCCTGCTGCAGTGATATTCTGATTTTAAATCATTGTCCTGTACATTACAGTACATAATTAAAAAGCGAAATCAAAAACAAGAATTTCCCCTAGGATGCTCTTATCTCGATCCCTCACCCCGACCTTTCCAACATCTCTTGATCCGTGTCCCTATAAAATTCTTAATTTTCCTATTATGAACAAGTACGCATACAATCATTACAAGAGAGCGTGACACAGTTTCAATCCAATTAAATATTAATATACAAAAACACTGTAGTATATTTCGGTTTAAGCACCAAGGTTTTTAACAACTGAAATGTTTGAAAGGAAACTCTCTTAAAAAATAACTTTCTTTTTCTCTACTAACTGATTTAGATGTGTATAAGAGACCTGATTCGATGTGCAACAACTGTACCACGAAATATGGGCTGTACTAACTTAGCTCTGATTATTAACATGGTGAGAACCATGAATGCAGGCGTAATCGATTGAATAGAATTTTAATTCGGAGTTGAAGTTTCTTTTAGGTGCACGTTTTTTGGCAGAATCGATGCTACGTGAAGATCGTTTATATAAATTTATGTGATTTTCTTTCTCCCAATTCGATACAGCTTCTGTCAATTTTTCATAGCTTGTGACAGTGCCACCGAGACGCAAAGTGTCTTCATCTGCCATCTTGAAACTTCAACAAGTGCGCGCTACAGAAAAAAAAATATTTGCACATGCTCAATAGGATGTTTTCGTACTCACGAAGCAAGCGGCGCCCTTCAAATAGATCGACGTAAGCATAGCCTATGATTAATGCTTACGACTCGGCGTAAGCATACAGTAGACTAGGCCTATGGAATCCTTGCGTATATATTATAATTATATATAAAGACAATGGTACAGGGTAGGGCCTATCTGACTCCTGAGAGAGAGAGAGCAGCTTAGCTCAGTCGGCTAATCTGGTGGCAGCCGCTGTGTGTGCGCTGAATTCCCATCGCTGCTCTCCTTGTGTTTCAGCTAGAGGGCTGAAATACAAGTTACAATAGCGCACCGTCTTTCGGATGAGACGTTTAAGCCATTGGTCCCGTGTGCATTATGGCCCATGTGCACGTTAAAGAACGCAGTACACTCTTGAGAAAAGAGTAGGGGATTGTCTCCCGGTGTACTGCCCAATCACTACCAGAAGGACCCCACTGGAAATAAGTCTTCTTCTAGACTTTCGTGGGCTATCCTTGGTGTTTACACCGAATAAATCCAATCTGATTATTGAACAATTAATATTCATGTTAGCTCAAATACTGTAAAAACGAAAGAATAATACATACCTACTCAAAAGGCAAGCAATACACACCAAACATTGTACTGGGGATTCAATATTTAAACTTTATATAAAGAGTCAAAGTATTGAATCCCAGCATGATGGTGTGTATTTCATTTTTTGGACTCCTGATTCCTGAAATTAATCAGTGAATTCTCCGGTTTTTCAAATAAAAAAAGTTTTAAGTTGGTATGTATGCTATTTTATTAACAGTAAATGAAATTGTCAGTTTCCGTTTTATTTAAAGTGGACTTACAGTAGGATTTAGGAGTGATGTTTCCCTACCTGACGTGTTATACTCGAACCGTTCTCAAATACTTAGTGATTCGGGTGGGGTCGAACTGATGACCTCCAGATAACTAGCCTGGTGTCATAATCACTAGACCGATCACCAAGCTTTAAGTGGACTTCTTACATTTATCATGCTTTCTCTTGTGTTTGTATAGACCACCACAGTTACAATAGGAATGTGCCATTCAGCAACAGGGGAGGCAAGGGTGGTTTCGGGGGAGGAGGAAGCAGTGTATATGGTGGAGGGGGATATGGTGGTGGAAGCTCAAATTATGGAGGTGGGGGTTACAGTGGAGGAGGATACAGCAGAGGAGGATATAGCGGAGGATACAGCGGAAGCAGTAATTTTAGAGGGGGTTACAAAGGCGAATTTAATTCCTCTACATCACAAAGTTTTGGCCAGAAAAGCTCATTTGGGTCCTCAAATCGCTATTCTGTGCTAGACCAACAGGGAACTGGAGAAGAAATGTTGACTCCAACTGAAATGTTGTAAGTATTTTGTTTATGTAACTTTTGTTTACTCTATATGAAATATATCAACATCTTCATACATGAAAATTAATCAGTTAATGTTCAAACAATTTAATTTAGATGAATTATGTTTTTTCTTCATAGAGATTTTATTAAGAAAGATGTTGAAGAATGGGTTCAGGGGAATATGTGGCCTTTTTCTTGCTATAAAGCAACCAAAGCTCATGCAAATTTTCCAGGTAAATTTTGTGCTTTTGAAAATATATAATTATTATTTCTAAGTGCTCGGCAGTGACATTTAAATCCTTTAATCTAATACTATACTGTTTTTACTGTTTTTTTTTGTTTTTTTTTTTTTTTAATTCGTCTATAATCCTGAAAGATGTATCTATATTTTTGTGAAATTGAAACTAGTAATCGTCACAAAAAATGTTCATCCAATTTAACAAACAGATCATTTTAATTAGCAGAGTAATATAAATAGCAACCATTTTATTAAACACTTCAATTTTTTACCTTATTTTTCTTTAGTTGTTTTCATAATGATTATTATTGCCATATATATTGAACATATTGCTATTGTTGTAAAGGTTTTGAAGACACATCATTTGAGGAGTTCAGGCATGAAGCTTACCTAGCAGTAAAAAACAACACTTATGAACAATATGTAAGTTTCAGAAAAAAACAGATGATGACACAGTTGACATGTCAATGATGATAACTATAATGGTTGTGAGGTTAATAAGAATAATGGCAGTGGCATCATAGCAGCTATGAGCTCTAGGAGGGGATCCAGAGATATCCAAAAGTGGGACCTTAGCAAGAATATCCAAGGGGCGGGGCTTAGAGGAAGGACATAGAAGCCTTAGCTAGGGCTGCAGGCATCTTTGATAAATTTTACTGGTGATGATTGCAACTTTTGATAAACATGATGATGATCAATGATATTGCAATCCACATCCAGATCAAGGACTTTTACTGTTACCAGGATAGGAAGCTGGTTGGTTTAAGCCGTCTAACTTGAATTAGCCTTATGTGTGGTATTGTTATGCTAATGAGCCAGATAAGCACAATCTGCACATGCTCAGAAAAACAAAACTTTCCTTAGCCACACTGCGTATCGGCTAGGCGTACAGCTAGGCCTAGCAGAGAATTACGGTAAAAAACAAAGCAAAATATTAAAGGGTACTAATTTCACTTGGCATGCAAATGAATCATACTTCCGTGGAAAAGGCGTATTAAAATAAAAAATATTGGCGTTTGTGAGCAATACATTTTAATTTTATATAGGTAAGTAGTAAGTATATGAATAATTTTAATGCACTAGTTGGTTGATAACTTCATTCTAATTTGTTTTGGGTCTTTTTTCTGCATTTTTATAAGTGGTTAGACATGGCTTAGGCCCAGGCCTAGGCTAGCCTATGTGATATTCATTGTAATACTGTACTACAAAACAAAATCAATTTAAAATCAAATTTGTGAACATACTTAACTTATATCTTAACTAGCAGGTGATTTTATTGGTAGATTAGTTTGTTTGATTTGGATGCCAAGTGAAATTATTACCCTTATTTTGCTTTGTTTTTCCCTGGGCCTACTCCCAAAGTTGAGGTGGTGGGCTTATACCAGAGGAACCGGTAAGCTGTTTGATATGCTGAAGATCAGAATGAAGACCACCAGCTAGCTGTAAAAGTATTACATATAAACAACTTCTATGTTTAAATACAACAGCTGACGATGCATGAATTGATGGTTGTGATGAATTTGAAGATGACAAGGGTTGAAACTTATGATGACAGTTGGTGACATTTATGATGATAGTTGGTGAGAGTGATAATGGTCCTGTATGATGATTGACAATATTTAATGTTTTGATAACATTAAAAGTTGTCGATCTTTAATGTTATCAAAACATTAAAGATTGTCGTTCAATGTTTTGATAACAATTTTGAGATTTGTTATGGTTGTTGATAAAGGATTTCCAGTTTATTCCATTAAAAAATAATTGTATTCTATATTGTAATTATTATTATTCATAATTATGAATCATATATATACGATAGGTAATCATTTTTCATAATCTTTTTTTAAAACTAAATGCTTTATTTCCATTTTTACAGAAAAAAGTATTTGCTGACTTAGGAAATACAGTGGCTCAGAAAAGAAATGAATTAATGCAACCCTCACAAGATACAAAAGCAGGTCTGGTAGGTGAACAGTTTGGTGGCATTCATACACCACTATTAAGGGGACACTTTTTTGGCCACAAAGCGAGAAAAAAAATGTTATAGTATTATTTCATCACTGTTCAGTGGACACCCCTATTAGGGGGAGACTCTATTTGGTCCACAATGTGTGTGCTTTCTACAGTTTTTGGTTTGCCAACACAAAATTAAGCGTTCTCATCGTTGCCAGTTATAATAATGATAGTTTGATGGTGATAATAATGATAGTGATATGGGGGATATGGTATACAAATAGGCCCGATGGAAGATAGTAGGCTACGGTCTCCACATCATTAAGGGGCTATAGATCACTGTTCCCCAAATCTAAAGCAGTCAATATTTGTTTTATTTAATTCATACATACCTTGTAGATTGTACAAGGCCTAAAATACCTGAATGAAGAGAGTACCAACCAAGTAGGCCTAGGCTTACTTCCTAGCTAGACGTAGGCAGTAGAAAGGCCAATTTCTCAGCATCATATAGGTTGGTGTCATAAATTACATAGCAACCTAATAATTGGGGCTAGAGATTACATCATGACGGGGCAAAAACTACTATCATTTCACATGACTGCTTTTTTCCTCGGGAAATTTATGAACTATCATTCAAGGTACGTCATAGGTGCGATCGTTTAAGTTATTACCTGCTTTTAACCAATCAGATGCCTAGAAACTGTGTATGCAGTATGATAGTATTATTAATTGTTTGTATTATAGTAATATTACATTTTCACTGTCACTATATTGTTTTTTACATATTTTTTTTTATCTCCCAGATTGAAATTTGTACGGTAATCTACGCTCCTAGTCCTATATCTTCGTCGTCATTCAGTTCATCAAGGTATGTACAGTCATTATTACAAATAATTCATTGAATTGAATTTACTTAAGACAAAAGGACTTGTACTATACCAATTTGAGGCCCACATTGAGATGGATCCCAATTTGGAAGAAAAGGACCTGACTGTACCAATTTGAGGCCTGCATTGAAATGGATCCCAATTTGGAAGAAGTCATTTCCAGGAAATCTGTTTGAATGGGCTTTCTTAACACATTCAATTTTACTTATACTTAGCACAGTGATATCCATTGGCACTGATTTCCATGAGACAATTGATAATAAACTTATTAAGTATTACAAATGTTCAAATATATAATGAATTTGAAGGAGATGGGTTATTTTCCCGATTTGTCCTTCCTTTCGGGAGGCCATCTAGATTTACAGGAGACTCCAGCGACTTGTGGACGACGTGGACCCCTGCATTGATGAAGCAGCTGGAATTCTATGGCGGCATAAGACTCAATTGTATCTCTGCCATCTTGTACCACTGTTCTTTTGTTCTTCTTTGTCCACTTTGGTTTCCAAGTGGTGGTGGTGCTACTACTAACAATAATAATCTATATTATTTTAGTACCTGTTGAACAATATTAAATTATCTAGCAACCCATATGTTTCAATTCTTCATGAGGAGCAAGAGAGATGGGTTTATTATATTTATAAAGTAAATATAAAATAAGTGTCCAATGTGATCATCACTAAACAGACGTAAAAAAAGTGATATTATATTGAAAATGTTACCTTTATTCAACAGATAACTATATGCAGGTCCTTAAAATTTCTATAAAAAAGTTTCTATAAATTTCTTGAATCTCAGTGCAGGCAACAAATCGTCGCTCATATCACAAACTAACACAATGAAAGTAGATCGTGAAAGCAAAATACGTTTCAAAATATGTGCTGCTGTTGTCTGACCTTTTGTGTGGTAAAGTGCTTGAAAACCAATACAGTACGTGTTTATTTTAATGCGCTTTTTTTGTTTTCACAAACTAACAAAATTTACTTTTATTGTGTTAATTATGTATCAATATTCTCAAGTCTTTATAAACAATTTCTGTAATAGTTTTTGTATGGCATTACCATCAGGGGTGAATTCCAAATGATATTTTGGTGGGGTTTTTTTTTTTTTTTTGTAGTGGAACGTCTAGTTTTGGATCTAGTGGAGGTACATCTAGCACATTTGGCTCTAGTGCTACCAATCTATTGACTGGAGGACTCCACCAAAAAGGTCCTACTTGGAAGCCCTATATAATTTTTGTTCAGCCTTATTTTGGTGCCTTCTCAGTTCGGCGCCTCTGACACTTGCCCTGTTCTACGTCTCTGCAGAATACTGTATGTAGCCTTCCTTGATTTTAAATTTGTTCAGGTTATTCTTGTAAACTTCAGAATGGCCAATCTTTCAGATCCTGCTTTTCTTTCTAAGATCTTCTCCATGATAAGACCACAAGACAACATCTGCTCTTCAATATTTCCTGAAAATATAAATACAATTGAACTTGCCTAAGTCAAATTCAAAATGCCATTGAAATATTGTTTGACTTGGATAAAATTTGACTTACAGATTGTTATATAATGAAAAACATGATTCGGCATGTAAAATTAGATCGACTTAGAAATTATTCGACTTGGGCAAAGCCGGCTTTTAGGCAAGTTTAACTGTAATACGAAGATGCTTTTATCATGGAGTTATATAACTGAACTAAACACCTCCACAGTTTAATACATGTTATGTATACAAAATAACTAACTTTTACCTATGTATTTACATATTTCAAAGGAGGTAAAAAATCCAAATTTAAAATAACAAAACCTGTTATGCTCATATTAAATATATATATTTATAAGTTTAGGAGCAGAAAAAGTATGGGATTCACATAGGCTTCCCCATAGGATGGACAATTCAAGAACATAGTAGAGTACTGTAGTTTGAATTTTTCTTTAACCTATAGTAGGGGCCTGTTCTTTTAATGTTGTACACAATTCATAAATGCTTTTTTAAATTATCAGACCAAAAACGGAAATAAAGGATTTTTTTTAATAGGGCCTAAAATTGCCCAGTTTTTTTTTTTTTAGCTCCAGAGGCTTAGCTACTTGGGTTTTGTAGTTTGCTGGACCCCACATCAGACAGCATAGCCTTGCCAAGCTGTACCCAGCAGTCAGGCAAAGCCTGGAGCCACCACTGGCTTTATCATCTTATAATGCATAGAGTATTGTCTTTACAAAAAAACTGTTATGAAAATGTTGAATTTGAAACAATTTTGACTGTATTATTAGAAAGCATTACCAATTTTATTCTCTTTAATTGCAACCAAGTAAAATGCACCCTCTTGAGAAAGAAGTTTGGGCACAATTGGAAGGAATCGATTTGTAACTTCCATACCATGGATGCCACCAGCCCACGAAGCTGTGATGCCACCAACACCAACCTAAAAGCAAGAGTAATGATAATTAAATCATAGCTCCACAGTTTTTCAATGTAAAAATTATTCAGTAGTTAAAAAGATACAAACCTCCTCAGAGGGGGTGACAACATAAGGTGGATTAAACAGAATCAAGTCAACTTGGCCACAAAGCCTTGGTAGAAAGGAATTAACGAGATCCATCTGGACAATCTCCACAGATGCTGAATTCTGGATGGCAGTCCTCTTTGTTGTGCTGGTAGCAAATCCATTCAAGTCAGTCCCTCTTAGGGAAAGGGGAAAAAATAGTAGTACCGTAATATATAAAACTTGATAATACTGTATAAATTTCATCTGTTTTTAAAGAATGAATGGTACTGTATATAATTTTATATAAAGTTATAATATAATTTCTGTGTGATAGTTTATATTTCAATATTTATATTACTGTACTGATATTAGTAGGTATAAGAATGGATGAAAGTATTAAATTTAAAAACTAACATACTGTAGTGACAAATAGAAAATCATTTTTATAAGTTTCAAAAGTTCAGACAAAAATAAAATTGATTTTAAATGGTTTTCACTCTTTAGTAAGCAATCGTTTTATCCGATATAAGATTCAAGCATAAATAACAATTGTTAATATTAATTGATTTAACAACCTCGAACAGTACACTGAAAAGGTTGAATAATCAACTGAAAATTAAATGAGCAAGCAAATTTTGTGTTGCGAATTCAACTTCAACAATTATATTAATATTGATACTGTATTGTTTTATAAAATAAATTATTTCCATTACTTACATACATTGTGCTGAGTTGCCAAGCAATTTTGAAAGAAACGTCGTAACAGTTCCAGAACCACACCCCACTTCTACACACAGAGTAGGTCTATTGAAATAAAGTGCAGTTAACGAAGTTAGGTGGCAAGAGAGTTCCATAGTTTTGAAGCGGCAAAAGAAAACAAACATTTGCTGTAAGCTGAAATTTCAATTTTTTCATGGCAGTGGATGCACTAATTGGCCAAAAATAAAATTTAATTTTTATTTGAAATCATCACTATTGGCGGGCGACGGGTTTGCTAAAAGCCCCTATCGCACTGGACTTAATTTGGTCAAATTAACCGAGTCACTGGATAAATTGACAAAAAAAAATCCAATCCGAACGTCGGTTACAATTCCCTCAGGGTTAAATTAACCAAGCCGAATGGTTAATTTTACCGACCTCAGCCTGCCCAGTAAAACTTACCACGGTCTCGGTTAAACTAACCACGCTGGTCAAGAAGTCCAATCCGAATGTGCAACACAGTTAAAACTTCTTCCATGTTGAAACCGCTAGAACAAAACCGGAAGTTGAAGTCACAAACTAGCGCCCTCAATAATATTTTTTATACACAAGGTTAAATCTTGGTAAAACTATGGTAAAACTATCCGCGTGAATAATCCAAGTGCGAACAATGGTGAAATGTACCCATGACTTTGTTAAAGTTACTTTGGTTAAAGTTATCCTGGTTAAATTTACCATTTTTTAAATCCAGTGCGAACAAGGCTAAACATGTATAAAAAAAGTCTTTCCTTAGACACTATCTGGAACAACTTAGATGAGCCTCTTTATACCTTGTTTGGCGAACCTGCCGACTGCAACTATTAATGATTTCAAATAAAAATAAAATTTTATTTTTGGAGAATTAGCGCACGCGCTACCACCAGAAAATGGAAATTTTAGAAAAAAATAAAAGTTTTTCTTTATTTATTACGCCCTCCCCTGTCTTGAAATCTCCAAAGATAAAATATGATTCTTCCTAATTATATAAATTTGAAGCATTTACCCGTCTTATTTTACATTCACCAATAAAACATTATTTTTATTTTCTCCTCCGTCTGGATGTTTTTGGCAAAACAATTTGCTAAGTAAGAAAACAATTTTATTTTTATCTTTATTTCGCCCTCCTCCTCTGATCTTTAAAAAATAAGTATGTGAAACAAAGAATAAAAAAATTCTTGCCTTACCTGGTCTTCTGGATGAAAGCATTGTCCTTTTCCAGTGCATCCAGGAGCAAGAAGGTATCCTCTGCTGGCTCATATACATGATCATAATCTTCAGCTTTTAGGTGAGAAATATCTGGTGTTTTAAACATCACAAAAATCTATGATAAAAAAATGGTAGAGACTCAAGGAAGTGAAACTGGATGTGCGACGGAACAAGAAGGCAGTGTCAATAATAATAAAAATAATAGTGTAGTTTTATATAGCGCACATATCCATCTAATGTAAGATGCTCAGGGCGCTTAATATGTGGACTAGGAACTCGACCAATGACTTTCTTCGCCCCTCAGGGTCCCTTCGTGTCTGTTCTACCCGGTAACCCGGTACCAGCAACTCCCGTCATCCACCACAGGGGCTGCCTGTTCCAGTACACCGGGGTATCCCCTACTCGTCTCGAAGGATGTACTGGGTTTTTTATAGTGCACACGAGCCATTTATACTCTGGGCCTACGGTTTATAGTCCTTACAATTCGTCCAATGTTGAACAAAATTTACTATTTTAGAGTGGTGTCTAAAATGTGTGAATGTCGTATTCATTCGGAATTGAAGTTTAGGAAGAGCCTGTGTGAGGAAGAGGCAAACATGCTTGAAAAAATACAAATTTATGCACGAGAGGTGAGCAAGCTTACATTTGGGAAGGAGGCTGAAGATGTAGCAAGCGTATTCCATTGAAGGAAGGGTAGCAGACTTATCAAAAAACAGACCCCCTACCCTGCCCTTTTTAATAAAGTATCTCCATGGAACTTATAAGAAGTTTTTAAAACTACAGAAAAAGAAATTGCACCTTATATTAATCATTATATATTTTGCCAGAATTTAAAATAGGTTTAAATGTCTAGCCCTGAAGCTAGGGCAGGCAGGTAATTATTTATATCAATTCAAATCTGGACTAACGATCGAAAAGGTCTAGTCCTATCTAGGTTAGAGAGAGAGGCCTACACGATCGACCACCAACTTTACCAAGACAATATGTTGTCACTGTTTTCATGAAGAGACACAAACTTCAATTTTGATGAAAACAACGTTTTGAGAAAAACGGATTTGAAGTGGACTACTTCACAAACCCGTAAATTTCACTATCAAGACAACAGAATTTTGAATATTTTTTTACATGTTTAAAGATAAAGCATTAAACAATCCAAATGTGTAATTTATTTTTCTTTTCTTAACTTTAATTAACCTGTTAATTAGCGTGAAAAGTTTGTATCTGTTCGTGAAAATGATCAGAATAAACACAGCATAATATGTTGTTTACACGTAGAGTGAAGTTTGTGTCCCTTCGTGAAAACAGTACGCGCACCCGTTGTTAAGGCACAAACTGTATTTTAGCTACGTGTTAACCACTGTAGTCAAGGGTGAAAACAGGCCTACAATCTTGGCTTATTCTGTTTAATCACTATGTTTTTACCAATAATTCCACATTTGGTGCACATGTATAACTTATCCCAAGTTATACTGCAAGAAGGGTACCAGTATGCCTAGGTAAGCTAGGGAAATCTAAGCCAAGCTAGGCCTTATCCTAGAGATCACAACAATTGCAATGCCGCATGCGCGTCTTTTAATAACCCAATGAAAGTGTCTGTTCATGAAAACGAAAAATCAATTTTGCTCGGTTTGTGCGAAACGGCTAATTAGCTTAATAAGCTAATTAGTGTAGGCCTAGTTCCACTCTTAAAAATTAGATGAAAAGGTAAAGTTTACTATAGTATAGCCTATAGGCTAAATCAAAATGTGAAAGAAAAAAAAAATGAAAAAATATGATTTCTGAAGTTTGTGTCTTCGTGAAAACGGTGATAATGTGACCATCTATTCCAGGCGTCGCCTAGCCTAGTAGTCACACAACATGCTCACCATTTCAGTGAGGTAAGCCCTACTACTTAGTACTAGTAGGCTAGGCATAATGCCTTCTAGGGTCTAGGGCCCTAGGCCTAGCTATGGAAGAATGTAGAATGTAGGCCTAGGCGATGGAATCGTTCAACAAACATGAGTTTTAAATCCGGATATTACTGATTGCATTGCTACCTAGCCTAACCTAGAAATGTTTATCCATCACAAACGTTTCCCTAGCCTTGTCCTTCGCTCAGCAGAACTGTCGCCAAATTATAATAAGTGTTTGTAGACTTGAAAGTTTACAAAAAATTAGGGTCAAAATGAGGTCATGGTGCGTGTTTATGATTGGACGACAAATGCTGGTAGCCATTTAGTCATGCGTCAACACACTCATTTACGAGAGGCAATCGCACCTTGCTGCTGTGAGCTGAGGTGGTTGAGGATAAACGAAGGGATTAGCTAGGCTAGGCCTACGATAATAGATTGGTGATGGAATAACATAACACAAAACTCCAGTAAGTTTGACAACCTTTTCCGAGAAGATGGAAAGAAGAAAACTACATATTACTAATTACTTACATACTATTAAACATGGCGTATAATAAGCTCTACAAACTCTTCGATCAGTACTGTCAAAGGTTGACAACGCATTGGCAGCAGCTGACAACTCTGCACAGAGCATTTGTTTTGTCGGGCCTAGTCTTTCTGCTGAGCTGTGTAGCAACGCTACCCGGTTTGCTGACTGTTTATTTCTTGTCGATTCTGTCTGCACTCGCTATCGCCAAAACTTTAAACGAAAGCAATTCTTTTCAGCCATCAAATAGGCTTCTGAAATATGTTTATTTTGTGTGTAACTTTTACTTCCAACAATTACCTGAACTTCAAATGCAATGGCTCCATTGGAAAATAAATACCGATCAGTCACCGGGTGCTGCTGAACGTGGTAGGACGAGAAAAATTCAGACAGACACATACGAAAGGCACTCTGAATCCTCATATCAAAAACAACTATGTGACACGCATTCTGAAAATTTAAAACAGCTTTGTTCTCTGCCAAATGAAGAAATACGTTTTAGAAATCACATTTTTAATGACTTCATTTTATCATGGTATACATCTCTGAGTCTGCATCAGCAGGTTCCGGATGAATTTCTGGTGCATATTACATATTTGCTCAAATCATTTACAAATTATTCCAAAAAAATTGATGTATACACCACTGTTAATCGTATTTTGTTTGAACTGCGAAAACATCTATGTCAATATCGAACAAGTTCCTTGAAACTAAAGCAATTACCGTTGAATAGTCGCTCAACTCTTGCTGATGTCTACGCCAATCATTTTAATCTGCATCCAGCAATTCAAGACCAAAGATTTATGGAAGATTATATACGTCAAGTAACTAATGTGTTGATGTGGTGCCTTTTACCTAGTCATGTTTACAGGTGCTATACAGGGAATTTATTACTCCAGGAAATTTTAACATGCAATGTTTTTATAAGTTTAACCGATTTATTAAGTGATCCTAATACTTTGAATGAGATTATTCTGTTAGTCCTTAATGATAATGTGTCAATGTCATCTGACTTACTTTATTTAGTAGGAGGACTACCAGAATCATTTGATGAAAGAAGCGTTCAAACAGAAGTAAAACATAAAAGCTCGAAAGATTTGAAAGAGTGCAAAAATCTTAGTAACCAGTTTGTAGCCAAAAAACAAAACACTTCTAATATACCACTAGTAGATGGAGACAATGACCAGGAATTAAAAGGAGAGGAATTAAGAGATAATTACAGTTCTGATTCTGATGATCAGAAAGTTTTGCAGACCTCCCAAATTGCTAGTAGACCAAAGTCTTTGGATTGGATTAATCCAAAACAACAAAATTCTCTTTCTGCAATAAGCCAGCAAGGTTTTCCCAGTTCACCAACAAAACCAGCATTATATCGTTCTAAATCATCTCCTGTTATATCACTACCACCAGTAAAATCAACTTTTAAAGCAAATATCAAAAGTGAAAATAGTTATGTTGTTCCTATGACAGAAATGGCACCAAGTGTGTCTCTCAAAAGAAGGGCAAGTCTCACTTCTCTAGTCAGTTTTCAGAGCATCCCAGTTGAAGAGGGAGATGATGAACTCTGGTTTTTGGAAGGAGAGGAGAATGTTCAGGATGTGTTTGTCATTCCTAAAGATCCAGGTAGAATAGGCATTTCTGGTACCCAGGATGATCAATTAATTATGTATGGTAGGCCTCATGAAGGATTTGCATCAGATACTCTGAAAATGCTGCATGGCATGATGGACACAGCTCTGTCAAAGCTGCCATCAATGGAAGCTAACCCAGCAGAAAAAATAGATGAGGAAGATGGTGTTTTCACCAACATCATTGAGAACATCAAACAATGGAAAACTTCATTTGAAGATGATTTACTGGATGAAAATGATCTGGTTACAAATGAGAATAAACCATCTGAAAAAGTTGAATCTTTGAATGGTTTGGTGCTTCCAGAAGGTGACGACCAGTCAAATTGGGGACATGATTTTTTGAATGAACAGGAAAAGAAGGCACCATCAGTGTCAAAAACTCGACACAAGGATGTAAAACAAAAGGAGGGTCTTAAGCATTGTAATTCTCTAGCTGTAAGCCATCATCAGGCTGACGACGATTCAAAGTCAGCACGGGAGACAGCAGCTGATAAACGTGCTAAGTATGGTTTGTCTCGTAGCAAGACTCTGGCAGTGTTGGAAGGCGTGACAGACCAATATTCTGATATCGAAAAGGAACGCAGTGTGTGGATTCAAAGTATGCTAATTATAGATACTGAGACCATGAAAGACCAGAGAAATATCAGTAAGGATTACACTTTATATTGTATAAAGGTAAATACACATTGATTGAATTTTTTTATAATCTTATCAATATTAAACCTGCAGAACTATAGAAAATTTTGCTTTAATAATATTGTACCGAAGGTGTTAATAAATACTTTACAGAAAAGTATGCTTTTTAAATGGACAACCAAAAGCTTAGTATCAACCCACCTCTCTGCCTATCACTATCAGCTTTTTCTGAATCCTATGTTTCCAGTACTGTCTAGCCATTAGGACATGGAGATCTCTTTTATCTCTTTTTGTGTTGAAAGTGAAATACACATTTGGACAAAGGTGGTATTGTAAGGTACATTCCAATGCTAATTATCTGCAGCATATTCAACTGTGTCGTATTGTATGTCGACCATGGAATTAGTTTAACATCTGACCCGAGGCCTACAAAAGCAACCAAACTACAGTACAGTACTGTACATACGCTCATTGAATAAGGGGGAATATTTTTTGTTTTTCAACACATGTTCTGTATGAGTTGACTTTTATGATACTGTACATGGCAATTGAGGTGTGCAAAGTGTGAACCAAATTGCTCCTGGCTTGCATAAGGCCTGCAGCCTGTATTTTGTCCATCTTTACCTTTGACTGATGCAAATTGACTTAAGTTATACTGTAGAATGTTTGGAAATTGTTACATATCACTCCCGCCTGCATCAAAAATTTGGGGGAAATTGATGATGCGGGAATAAAAAAAAAATGTTTTTTGCTGCATCATATATTTCAAGCAACATCTTAAAAAACAATGTAATTTCGTGACTGGAAATTCATTTTCTTTAAAAAATAATAAAATTAAACCAGTTTTTATTACAATATTCTTGCCAAATAAAAACAGTCCGTCATCTATGAAAAAAAAAGCAGTATTCTATTGTTCTGTTAAAAAATGAAAAAAAAAAAAATCCCACCCTCATCACTTTAATTTAAAAAAAAAAAAGTGATAATCTAATAATTTTTTCTATGTGCCCTAAGTTGAGTATCTGCCTTTGTGTTTTAGATCATAATTTAAAGCCCAGTAATTTAGGGTTGAATAATTAAATCATTGTAAGGCAGGAGTATTCGAAAAAATTTCCAGTAGGGTGGGGGAGACTGGGGCCTTGCATGCTTCTCCACTGTGTACAGGTTTCTCAGACAGTTAACCTCACAGAGTGATGTTTCTCAGGTACAGTACTGTACATAGTACAGCAGGCTTGGCAGGTGAAAAGTTTCTCATGCAGGCATGTAGAGTAGGCTTCAGATGTGAATGATTTTGGAGTATATAAAAAAAAAATGAAATTATAATTATCACAGTGCTCGGGTTTTTCTGGCATAAAATGTTCTCAGGTACTCTAACCAGGCTTCCATTACAGTATATTCAATTTCACACTGTAAAATTCGAAACAAAGTCAGGAACAAAAAATGAAAATGGAAAAGTCATACACATTTCTTTGTAGCAAGGTAACTACAGGTTTTCGAACACCTAGAATGGTCCAAAATCTTTATTGCACCAAACAAAGCCATTAAATGTATGTGCTTTGTTTTTTGATTTACTATCATAGTTTATTGTTGTTCAATGTACTTCTCGGGTAAGACGCCAAAGGCTCTAAAAGGGTAAAGTATGCTTTTCATATGAGAAGCAATTTTTTTTAAATGGCACTTTTCAATTTTTTTACTGTTATTAAAACATTTTTCAGAAATTATTCTGAAATATGTATTTATTATGGTGGTAATTTCTTTATGCTAGACTAAATTATGATCCTAGCTCTCTAACATTAAGGCATCTAGTTTGAACTGTACAATCAGCCATTATGAAATTTAATTTTTATAAAGTACCTTAAAATATTCAATATAACATGGTTTAACTTTTTGAAAACTTTGAACAAATCCAAATATACTGAAAAAAACTACTATAATAGTAACCTTGTAAAAAGTGAAGCATTTTTCTTTACTTATATTTTGTAGTAATTTTATGGTGAATGATAGATTGTGAAATTATTTGGATTTACCGCATTTTAACCTACTGTTAGGAACACCAAAATGTCAGGAGTGTAACATTAACATTCCACCTGCTTTTTTTGTGTTTTTTTTTTAATTTTTGTTTTTTTTTATTTATTTAATTTTATGTATCTATACTATAGACATACTGTAGTAGTATGATTGAAAGAAACCAAAAACATAATTTGAAAAAAGCATGTTTTGGATGTGTCGGCTACAGATGACCATTGACATATTATATTAGGGTGTGTCAGGAGCAGTAAAGTTAATAGGTACCATGTATTTACACAATTGGAAATTATACACTAAAGTAAAACATTGTACATTCTGACAACACTAGCATCAATAATGCCTCTTAAACATAGTATTTCAATATAAATAATACACCAGATTGCATATTTTTCCCATATAAATTAACAATTTTTTTATCATTTACTATGTTTAAACCACCAAGAAAAAGAGGGTTCCAAAATAGATGTTGAGAAGTTAAATTGTCCTACAAGTATAAATTATATTATTATACCATACAGTAGTAATAGAGCTTTCAATTTCACGAGGACAGTAGGACGTACCTGTATGTCACTAAAAGTCATCTGTGCATGCGAATACATTTAAGTTGTCCTCATCGTGTGGATTCTAGGCCACAATTTAGCCAAATCTACAGTACGTATGCAGAGAACGTACAGTAGGACGTCCTGTAGGCCAATCATGCATGAGTGATTCCATTCTAGCATTGCATCATCGCACAAATCGAAAGCTCCCTACAGTAAAAGTTCTTCAAACACTCGATATCAACAATAGGTGGTAATAATAATAATAATAATAATAATAATAATAATAATAATAATAATAATAATAATAATAATAATAATAGTAATAATAATAATAATAGTAATAATAATAATAATAGTAATAATAGTAATAATAATAATAATAATAAATAATAATAGTAATAATAATAATAATAATAATAATAATAAATAATAATAATAATAATAATAATAAATAGTAATAATAATAATAGTAATAATAATAATAGTAATAATAATAATAGTAATAATAATAATAGTAATAATAATAATAATAATAAATAATAATAATAATAATAATAATAATAATAATAATAATATAATAAATAATAATAAATAATAATAATAATAATAATAATAATAATAATAATAATGATGTATTTTTATATAGCGCACATACTGTACAGTATCCATCTAATGTACAGTACTGTAAGATGCTCAGGGCGCTTGATATGTGGACTAGGAACTCGATCAGTGATACTTTTTCATATACATATACTTCTGATAGATTTTGTAGTCTACTTCAAGACTTCAAAAAAATACAGAGGGAGAAAGACATGAATATTAAATTCATTAATGTTTTTCATATAGTATAATATCATATTTTCAATAATATTATTTACCCATATGATAATACAGTATACTGTTTGATACAAATGTTATGTACTACCATTGACCAAGGCATTCATATCTGGAGAGTAACACCTTGAGAATTTATGTACTGTACATGTTTTTTGGGCGACCACTGCATTATCATAGATTGTCATATGAAATCTTACCAATATGAGTTTAAATAATGTTATTGTCAACATGACATTTAAGAAGTTTTCAGGAGTTTAAAGCATTTTACCTTGTATTCTATTACATTGTTGCTGCGAAGCAGCCAATTCATATTCTTGACAGCAATTTGACCTCTGAAAGGTCATTGTTTGTCAAAAAACAAGGGCCTAAAGACAACTGAAAAGCGGAGTTTCCTTCTTTCGTTCTGCCGGGTAAAATCAATTACTTTTAATAGACAACGTTTGTAGACTAACCTACTCGTACCAACGTCCGCATGTCGTGCTAGCCTTATCCTACTCTAGGCCTAGACTAGCTACTGTAGGATGGTATAGGCCTAGCCTTGAAAGGACGAAGGTCCCAATGAAAAACAATGTCGCTCTTTGATAGCTAACATTGTCTATTTAACATCACAATAATTCATTATTAGGCACATAGTTGTTTTTTGAATTGTACTCCACAAATCTCAGCCGATACCTCGCACAACTCGTTAACGTCTATATCTATTGTCGTGATGTGATGGCTCGCTGGCTCACATTTTGATGTCTCGCACTTGTGATCAAATAACACGCTAGCTCGCACTTTGGCAACACTCTTTGGCAGTCAACTCGCCCCTAGAAAACCCACCCTTGGAAACTTGGCCCATAAAAAAATGTACACTTCCTAGACCATGCAGTCTTCAAAATAAAAACTGTAACCTTTGGTAATCAACTACATTTTCCACATACATAGAAATTTTTGAAACTTTATTAACAAAAAACCTAAACCAGAATTCACCACTATAGACACTTTTTGACAAAAATGAAAAATTACGACTTTGTTACCCAATGAGAAGTGTTCTAATATAGACAATGGGTCGTGTTTCATATTATTTGTTATATTTTTATTATTCATTATTTTCACTTGACTCGCATAAATAATTTAGTTCGAAGAACATTTATATGCAGTTGTACTTCGCAGCAATTCACTTGCAATTTGCAATTTCTAGTTTGGTAGAAGAATATAAAGTGCATTAAGCAAATTTTGACCTTTGAATAATATTATACAATTTACAGACACACCTTATTTTGTTTTATTATTATTAACAACCTACCGTACGATATTTTGAGTGATCTCTAAAACCAGGCATCTATCATTGTAACAATGTTAAGACAACACAAAGAGAGATGTATACTGTACTGTAGCTTTTTGATTGACCACTGCCTGGTCATAAATTGTTGCATACCTGTAAAGTCCAACATTTCTGTACCTGTACCAAGGTGTTTTCAATTACAGTAGGGTACTTAGTGTCAAACATTTATTCTGCTTGGGTATTTTTGTGTATAATATGGGTTTTTTTTTTCACTTTTTTGAATGTGAATATAGTGAAGTGGTATGATTTTTGTTAATATTTTTTAAAACACTAGAAATTTGAACATATTTTCAGTAAACATCTTAGGATCAACTATTAAAGTTAAAATTGTGTTTTTTCAAAAACAAATCATTTTCTGCAACAAATGTAAGAAAAAAATAATTGAAATAGTTTGCATGCTTGTTTATATAACTTTAATAAAGACTGGAAAAATACTCAAAGGCATCAAATTTTAAAATTTCTAAAATATAATAGCAAATATCCAAATTTGGGGCCATTTAAAAAAAAATCGCGTACTGGAATTAAACATTTAATGTGAGAAAGGAGATTTTTCTATTTCTTTTAGTGTACAGTACTGAAAAATGTTTGATGAACTACCTGGGATGTTTTTAATCAATCAATGAATTATATATTCTTCAGATGATGAATGAAAGTATTATTTGATTGAATTTAATAGTATCAAGCTCTAATATGGAAGGGAGATGAACAGCCAACAGAAGCTAAAACACATTTGTTAAAGAGAAGGTTCAGAGAGTTCACCAATTTGCAGAGTAGATTGGAAGAGAATCCCCGATTGAAACCACTCCTTAAAGGTGAACATTCTCTTGTTATATATTTTGTTATTTTGAAGTTTAATTCGAAGGTCTTGTTTTCATTTTTTGTGCCTTTTCGATTTGTAATAGAAAACTTTAGTGATTTCTGTACCAAAGATTATTACAAAATACAATACCAGCAAATATTCTGACAGCCAATGAAACATTCATATAAACACATTCTGTATGACTCATTTTCTTGATTATAATTTATGATTTGAAGAGAAATTTATTCTCGTTATAACTGACAACTGATGATTTGTTTACAAAAAATACCTTGCAAGAGCCTTTACCATGTTTTTTTATTATCCAGTGCTTTGAAACCATACTGTAAATGAAAGAAAAACAGAAACTTGTTCATGAGATTTCCTTATCTTATTTTTATACTGAGTATAAAAGTATTTCTGAGCCTGAGACGTGGAGAACTGTCAACTTACACTTACACTATCCTACATGTTTTTTAGACTGTGATCCCTTCACTAAATCCTTGCAAGAGACTTCCATCAGAATAGCCCAACATATTAGGGTAATCTATTGTTGATCCCTGGTCCTTGGTAGAGGTGAGGGGAAAAAAAAACCAGGTTGCAATGAGATTTCAGAGACTGTAAAAACATTATGGCTTTTAGACAAATGTATGCAGTTGATTATAGAAAATTAATAATTATATTTTATATGAAAATTAATATTTTACCCTCTCCACCTACTGTACTTCTCTTCCAAATGATGCAATGGGTTTTTTAAGGTGCACATGGAACCAGAAATATGTACACTAGACCTCCAATTTTAAGTCCAAACTGAGAAGACTTTGTCCTGCCAACCGAACCCTGGAGAAAGATGGAGTTGATTTTAAGGTGGTAATTTCAGCACTCCTGCCGTACTGCCCAGCCACTCAACTCATCCAAGATATAATTCAATAGAAACATGTATGATTACCTTGAAATGTATTGTTCCATTCCAGATCCTATTCAGTTATTGTATTTACCCTTGCTCTCTGTATAATGATACCATTTTTTAGTGCACCACTGCAATATATATCTTATCTTGAAGCAATTTATTGCTTAAAGTTTACAGAGTACAGTATTATATATCAAGTGATCTCTTTAATCGTGTGTATGACCAAACAAAAGGCTATTCAAAATATTGTCATCTAATTGTTTAAAGTTATTTGTGTGTACGTGTCTAGGTATCAGGGATGTTCCACGTAAGCTTCAGCTGGTCAACAGAATGAGTGAAGATGTTGTGCTGCATCGAAAACAAAGTCTAGAGCGATATCTACAGGTAACTTTTTCCTGGTTCATATCAAATCTGTGTATTTGTAATTTAAAATGCATGCTAGAGATCAAGTTGTGTTGTGTGCTTGTGGAAAGAATGAATAAAAGAAGGAAATAAAACAGACTCGGATTTAACAGATTTGCTTGTGTAATTTTATTGCACTCAAGTATTCTTCTACTCGGGGCTTATACAGGTTGTTGCACACTGTGCATGCAGTGTGTTTGTCTTTTGTCATAAAATTTTAGTTAATATTAACTATCAATAAAGTATTGGTTTGACAGTGTGCTAAGTTCTGCATCATTTGCTCTACTAATCCATTGTTCTTTGCTGTTGTTTGTATTTTGTTTAGTTTTAGTGATCAATGATTTCCATAGTAAATATATTACTGTTCTACTCATTGTAGAATGCTCAGTTGTACTGTATACTAGTGTTTCATTAGTCATATTCTTTTGAACACTCTTGACTGTAATTGACAGATACTGGTTGATATTATATTAGTTGAGATTACCAATACTGATGATGTTTACTGAGAGAGATTATAAGCATGTGCTAAACATACTGTAATAATGCAGTATAGTATCAGTACAATGTATACTGTGGAATGCATCCATTTCTATATTTTGTGTACATATGACCTCACTGTGTAAAAATGGTGTTTGAGATGTGTCAAACATATTGATCACCATGCATACTGTAGGTATCAATCAGGTAATTGACGACTTTTTGAATGATCTGTATTGATCATGACCCCCCCCCCAATCCAACTCATAGCAGTGAGGCTAACATTATTCAGAGGTCACAAATAAATTATATTCTTGTATGTTTATGCATTAGAACCTATGTAGCATACCGGCAATATGCAGCAGTAGAGAGTTCCAGGAGTTCATCGCAATCGAGGGAGACACACACATCGAGTATGTGAAGAAGGCTCCAGAGATTGTGCCTAGGATTGATAAGGTACATATTAATAGCAGATGTTATATTTTTAATTTAATTTTTTTAGTCACCAAATGTTTATATCGCCATTTTCATTATGAATCATGCTGAAACACAAGATAACGTATTTAAAAGTAAAAATTTCTAAATATAAAAAAAAAAAATTTTAAAAATAACAACATGGGTCATCATTAAATAATGTTTACAAGAAAATGCCGTAGAAACTTTATGCATTGTGTACAATATCAGCATCAACTTTTTATTTATTGTTATTTATATGAAGTTTAACATTCTATATGTGGAAAATAAATGTACATTTTAAAGTTAAATTCTTGAAGAGAGAAAAAGAAAATATATTATGAACAGCTCGATAGCAATTAAAGTTTATGTGAAGTAACTGTACTAATGTACTGGTATGAAATGGTGTATCAAAGGTATAGGCCTACAGTACAAAGATTAAATGGATATTAAATATGAAGCAGACAGATTACAAATTGTAGTACAAAATATTTAGATTGCATGATGGTAAATATTCAGGTTAAAATTCACCATCAGTTGTACTGCAGTTATTAATAAACAAATTCATGTAATGATGATTACAGGTAGTACTTCAAACAAAACTTAAATCTTAAGAGGCAGGCTCCGGGGAAAAACATTCTTTGATATGTTGTACAACTTATATTTCCAAGCCACAAAAAGCATATTTAACGAAAAACTTGGGAACAGTTATAATGAGATACAGATATTTGAAGACATACTATGAAAACTGGGGGAAAAGGCATGTAACCACCACTTTTCCCTCCTTTCACCCAATTTTTAAATATTCAAATAACTGTATCTCATTAAACCACTCCCAAGTTTTTTGTCGAAAATGCTCTTCGTGTCTTAAACAATTTTTTCTACAACCTATCAAAAAATGTTTTCCTCTGGAATACCAATGGTGTCACTGAGTTTCCGGTGTCGCCAGCTTTCTAATCCATAAAATATGTGCCACGTTTTGGCAAAAAAAAAATGCAATATTGCACTGCTTTTGAAATGCTTGCCCTATGCTTAGAATTTAGGGCTTTATTCAAAACAATCAAACATACAATCATGCTAAAGGTGATCGGTCATATGTGGCAAAGACAAGCCAAACCAGTCACTCGTCGCAAATCCTGTTTTGGAGATAATGGCCAAAAAAAAGCTGGAATGTCAAAATTTTGGAAATCTATTTTATTGCACTAAACTAACCCTTATATATTCTATACATCATGCTATGCTGTTATTTTCCTCATTTTCAATGTTAAAACAACAATTTTTAACGATTTAATGATGGTTTCTGCCTAAGAAATGCCTAAAATCGTAAACTTTGAAGGCTGATTTCTCAAATATTGTTCTTTAAACAGCTGTATGTTTAAACTTGTGTAACTTCATAACAAAGTGTCGGATTTAAATGATTTTTTTTACCATTTTATAGCTCTCATTGTACAGTACTGTAAAACCCTGTATTGATAACTAAAAATTGATTTTTCCGACGAGTGACTGGTTTGGCTTGTCTTTGCCACATATAGTGATTGTAAATCAAACAATTGATGAAATATATTACGGTATTGTATACAACATATCGGTATTACAGTACAAACAAGTATATAGAGTGAAAGCAACACAATGTAGATGTCTAACTATCAAGTAGCTTAGTAATATTTATTGGAACAAGGAGGGTGCTTCAACACTGGTCAAGTCAGTAGAAAGTATATTACTGTACAATCCGCACAGGGACTGGCGTAGAGTCCTAACTACCATGTAGACTATACAAGGCAAGGCTCAGAAAACTTGATATGTTTGTCAATGATTGAAACAGCCATAAACAAGACAGATTGTCTTCTTTAATTATGGTTTGAAGAGAATCATAAATTACATTTGGCAAGCAACTGCTTATTTGTTTATAATACAGAATTACCTTTGAGTAGCCTTTACCATGAAACTTTAATATTTTTCATTTTATTTTATTTCAATACACATCCAAACAGCATCAATAACAGGATGGAATAAAATAAAATAAAGTTATAATCTTAAAATACATTTCAAAATAAAATTCAGAAAAAAAGCAAAAATCAAAAACCACCAGAAATAAACAAATAATGCAACACATACATGACATGAACAGAATCTTTTATGTTTTCAGCTATTTCACTTTTACAGCTACCGTATTTTTTAAATAAATGCCCGGGGCATTTATTTCTAGAAGAGTCATGAGGGGGAATTTATTTGGGGAAGGCATTTATTTTTTTGGGTGTAAAATTATTCCAAATGAGGCTCCAAAGAGTGCATTTATTCATTTGGAGGAGGGATGGGGTGTCATTCAAAGCAGAGTGTTTATTCAAATAAATGCAGTATTTCCAAAATTAAATATATATTGTACAAAAGTTTGATAAATATACTTGAGTGAATCTATGCAAATTTCAACTCTGAACTACTGTACTTTTTAAAAATATGTATAGTAGCTTACTGTACCTATGTTTTGTTGTATTGGCACAAGTACTCATCTTCCACTCTAAAACGCAATTCAAAGTCCAATTGAAACGAATAAACAATTAACCCAACTGGGATAGTGTGTTTTGAAATTAGCATAAGCTGTATGTTGGTTTTTACAGCTGTTGCAAAACTTAACGCCAGAATGTTTTGATTGGATTTCCGCTGTAAATCTGAAACAACAAAATGGCATCCGTATGTAAATACTGGTGTTGAGTTCATTACAAAAAGATATAATTAACGTATAGCAGTAGTTTGATATCATTCAATGAAACAGATTTATGGATAATTTGCTCATTGTCTCTTAAAAATATTTTGAGATTAAAAAATAAACAGAGAAGTTTTAATTGATTAAAATTTTTAATAGGAGTACCTTTTTTTAGGGTATGCATTGGAAAGGGTGGATGTGGGTGATTGTGGATGTTGGGATTTTTATAATCACATAGTCATAAGCTACAATCGCTTTGAATTTTGTACGTATCATAATTTGTCCAGTGCGAACAGTCCAGTAAACTTTCCTCTCAGAAAATTTACCAAGATGAGCATTAGTTTCACCAAGTAAATTGTGCCCAGTAAAACTGACAAGGTTAGTTGTACTGAGTCAAAAAGTCAAATGCAAATACTGTACGTGCCTTGGTTAAATTTTCTGAGTCCGTTAAGCGTTACTCAATAGATGATTTTACTGATTAATATGTCCTCTATAGCTGATTTTCACGGCTCATTCAAAAAATCCAAGTGTGGACAGCGGTACATTTTACCATTGGAATGTTACTCACTGTTTCAGTAAAAATTTCCATTTTTTAAGTCCAGTGCGAATGCCACTTCAGATTATTGTATGAACATTAAACAATCAATATCATACATTTACAATCATACAGTACTAAAACAAAAATAAAGAAATATTTGGTATATAATTTAAAACTAGAAAATAAGGATTTGAAGTCTCATTTCTTTATTTTCAAGTGATAAAAACATAACTAATATACATGTCTTGCATTATACCCTTACAATTCTTCAGTTAAAACAAGTTTTATATATTCCTATAACTATAGTATTTTTATTTACCTCGAATTTCCAAAGGATTCATATTTTAATGAGCTTGAAAAGGTAAGATTTGCAGGTGTTGTTAATTTTACTATCATGGTATTTTAACAATTTATTCATCTTTGGGGCCCCATCTGTTCATAGTATTTTGACCCTCCAAACCTTTTTTAACCTTTGAATAATTTTACGCAAGTCATTGCGATTATGATAAAACAGTAATATCAATTTACCATTTGATGTTGATTGAAGAGAGTATAGTTTAAATCAAATTCATTTTGTATTTTTAATACTTTTTATTATTTGTTCATTGCATGGTATACTTTTGTTTTATTCGAATCATGTTTCAAAATTATGGGATTCCATGCTGGTATTACCATTCAGTATTTTGGTTTTTATTTTATCATATCCCTGCTGGCTAAATTCACACAAAACTCATCTCCTCATCATTTGCTTCCATTTCTTTTCAATTTTATCAAAATGACATATACATGTTGAAATATAATTTTATATGGAGATCTGTTGGGAAAATATATAATTGTAATGCCTATATTGAAAGATTAAAAGCCTTTAAGCTATTTAATCTTCAATATTAGTGTTATTGATGTTATCGTTATTTTTGTTGTTGATGTACTCAGATCCGTAATAAATGTTAAAGTAATCTACTATAGTGTAAGTAGACAATTCACATAAAAATGAACTACACACCAAATATTTAATGTAATACTAGCAAATTTTATTACTACATTATCATTATTATCTATTATTTATTTTGCATATAAATTTATACTCTCATTGCTGAAGGATAAAAAATCTTAACAAATATAATTAAAAAGAACATACACAATATAAGTCATATATTACTATTATTATTTTTAATAATTTTAATGTATTTTAAAGGATTCTTACATAGATGAATTAGAGAAGGTAAGAACGAGGTGTATTTTTTGTATGAATTTCTTTTAATGTTTTGCATATTTTTTAGATTTGTTTAACTTGTACTGTACATGTCAAGGCCCGGTACATTCTAAATGGACCTTTTATCATTGGTTTAGTGGATTTTATTAGCACAGATGTATTGTATGAGAATGTTTTAAATGTTCAACTTTGTCCTATAGAAACCATTTATAAAAATTCAATCAAACCATTGAATTTTTATTTAAAGGGACCAAAAGTTAATAAATTATGGATCATTACAGTTCATTATTTTGCTGAATTATAGAATTTTTGCTACAAAACAAATTCAATTTGTAAGATTTGACATTGCTGTATATTAATATCAAGGTTCGGGTTGATAATTCTAGTAGTTTATGTACCATAAACTATTCTCACCTTAAGGTGTGTATTATAGATACTCACCTACTATTTTGAAATATCAAGCACTGTCATCGTTCTTTGTGGTTTTAATGACAGAGAATAGCTTTAGTATATATTTCAAAGAATCGGTTATGGTTTTTTAACATATTGAGATTTTAGATCAGTCTATACAGTATCTGGTAGTTAATTTTACAGTATGAAAGTTCATCAATCTTCTGCTGCAATTTAAAACATTTAGCACTTCTCTTTTCCTTTCTGTTCTTAATTGCCTTCAGTCTTCTTCTAAAATTGTATCACAATACAATATTACATTGCTAATCAGTGGCGGATCCAGGAATTTAAAATAGACAGGGCCCAGGAAGGGACTTTCACAGATAGAGAATCTAGACCACCTTAGCCCCACGATGGTTGGGTACTGAAGTAAAGAATATTTTTGATTATTATGGCACCTCTAGATGGCCAGAAATGGCCCTCTCTGACTTAAATTTGAATATAATTCTCTTCTTTCTCAAATTTTTTAGGGTGGGGGTAGGAGACTGAATTCTCTCCCCCCCCCCCTTTTTGAATCTGCCACTGCTTATGAAATTTTTCCGTTCCTATATTTTTTAGCTTAAAAGTACAGTGAATTTTTTGCACTTTTTAGCAGGTTTTTAGTGGTTAATTGTGAAGTAGTTTATAGTACTTTATGCGGTTGTAGTTAGTATAGCGGTTGTATGGGTACTGAGAGTATTATGCATCATAGCCATGTCACCATTGTTGAGTATCTATGCATCTGCTATGACCACCTTGAATACAGATTTGATTAAAAATTAAAATAACTTACCAGATTAAGTCTTTACAATAGTCTGACTCAGGTGTATTCAGATTGAAGTGCTGTGCAAATATTGTACATATGTTCAAGGTCTAAATAAAAATACACAATGGTACAGTGTGGTAGGAAATTAACCAATATTTTAAGGATTATTAAAAAAAAATTTACATCTAGTTAGTAGTTGATGATGAAAAATGGCCACAATATATGCATATTTTTTGATATATTTTTTATATTGTTTGAGTCATGAAATACTCACACATGGGGGTTTGAAACATATTTAATAACCTTTAAAATTAAAATATGAGTTACAACAAGGTAATTCAACAGAAGGACGCACATCTCCGCTCTCGAACATAGCGTGTGCGTACAGTCCTTTGATCTTCGACAATCCGATACTAGTTGCGAGTACAGCCGTCAATTATTAGTCTATGCGTGCCATACGATTTATGGTGTTACTATTTTATTAATTTTGGGTACTTCGCAGTGTCTGTTACATCTGATTTCTTTTGACCGCGAGCTTGTTAAATGCTCCTATAAACTGAAATTTGATTTGTGAAAATTGACCAAGAAAATGAAAAGTTATAGCAATTGAAAATTTACGAATTTTATAAAATTTCATGTTCTTATGTAACATTAAACTGTCATTTTGACAATGTTTGTAATCACCGCACGACGCGCGATTATCATGGCAACTAACACACACATGGGTATTTCGTCGCGTATGTTAAGGGTTTATGGTCTGGTTGCTTTTTTTTTTTTGTGACGTTCAGCGTGTAGGGACGCACGTGCACCTAGAATGTCGATGCCAGAGTTATAACCTTTGATTTCCCAAGTAGTGCGTCCTTCTGTTAAATTGCCTTGGTTACAAGTATAATGAACATGTTGATAATAATGGTTATTTAATCATTATAATACAAAATGTATTAAAATGTTTCATCTTTTTATTTAATGGGTTTGGAAGTAAAATTATATTTTATTTTATATTTTAGAAGTTCTGATATTCAGTGATTTTTTGATAATATATATAGGAATAATAATGTGCAATATTATAGACAACGACACTGATGATAAAAAAATTTAAATTCAGTATATTTTTTTTTATCAAAACTGAAAGTGTACATCAAAATTCATTTGATTCTGCTTTAAATTTCCTTTCAGTTAATAGTTTAATTGATTGAGTGTGAAAACATTTTAGTTTCAATCTAAAACAAAAGAAATCAAACCTTTATAATTGAATTTGGTTCAGCTACTGATCATGTTCACGTTAAATATTAGGTGTACCCTTATTTATTATTAAGTTTTATTATTAATGGTCCATACAAATATATGAAGCAGTGTTGAAGATAGGGAATGTATGAGTTGGGTTTTACTATAACAAATATACCTTATTTTCTGAAAGAGAATAAGTTAATTTTTTTTTTACAATGTATTCTGGATTTAATTTTAATTATCTTGTAACAAAGGAACAGGCACTCACTTCATGCAAATTTCTTTTTATTTGTCTGAAAGAAATGTCAAGACTATAACATTTTATTTCACAAAAACATGTGATATGCCTAAATATGGTCATGATGATATCACATCATGACCATATATAGGCACATCATATCTATATATGAGCATACAACAATGTGAACTAGGCTTTAGTCTTTATTCATACAGTATATGAGGAAGAGAAAACCAGAAGCATTTTAGTCTGAGCCTGTTAGCCCCAAAGCAAGAGGTGTTGGTGTGGCCATAGAGAAAGTTGCTCCATATTTGAAATTTTTTAGCCATCGAAGAGGCATGTATGTTTCCTTGTACAGTACTGTAGTACTAGTGCTCAGTGTTGGAGGCCAAAAATACAGCAAACACCATGAAATGGATTTAAGTATGATTCTTATTTTTTAACCTGAGTGGTTGTTTATAAGCAGAGTTAAACAAAACAATACAAAATATATTTTGAAAATTTTAATACACCAGATATGCTTGCTCCATCGTCCAGTCGAATCTGATCGAGTTTGATTTTACTGTGCTCAAAATATGGATGGGCCAACAGAGATTTTACAGCTCAATCAAGTCAAGTGCTCGGTGTGCTACCTCAAGTGCCATCAAGTACAATTACTGGTAGTGAGCATCTATTCTGACTAATACCAAAATACTTGGCCTCCAAATTCATTCAGTGGGGCTTAACAAGTGAAAAACCTTGTTTGAAGGCAGCCAAAGATCTCACTAATGCTCAATCATAAAAATTTCATGTTACTGTACATACTTTCTGTTAATTAAGACCTGTAATATGCAGTAAAGTGTGCCCACCAGTCCTGTAGGCACATTATTACAATAGTATAATATTATAAAAGCTCTGAGGGGTTTTGCCTATAGAATTCTATTGTTTGTATATCTTAAAATGGATTACAACCTCTAGCAGACTGATTCATGAATAAATGCAAAAAATGCTGATAAAATTACGGTATAAATAGATAATTAAATAGATAATTATTGAAATAATAATTACTATAATAAACTATAGTGGATGCCTCCAAGTGAGCTGCCATTTTACGAGTACCTGATAGAGTTTACTTCGAACCTTTAAATCTACCATTTTTATTTAGATGCCATCTACCCAATATGCTGTAAAAGTCTTAGCTGTCCTTAATTTTACCTGTGTCTTTAATATATTGTAAATTTTTATTCTCAGTGTCTATTTTATTGTAATGTGCATTTGAACATATTTTTAATGGAATTTGCAGATTATAGATTAATAAATTATTATTATTATTATTATTAATCTAGTGCCATTATTTGGAATACTTACATGTGAATCATAGGCTAACATAATATTTGTATTTTAATCGCAGTAATAAATGAGGGTACAGGACAGAAAAGGAGGTGAAGATATAGCGAAAACACCTTGACCTTACATGCTGGAGTGCCCATGTCTCCTTTGTTGCGTTTGGGCATGTTTTGCAATTATACTCTTAGGTGGAGACATAGAAAGGAATGTGATAGGTGTTTATTCAAAGTGGGGCATTTATTCGAGTGAATATGGTAACTGTTTTATCCTCCGTAAAAGTGTGAAAGCTGTGTGATCTGTTTGAGAAAAAAAAACACTCAAAAAATTTGATGTCTGTTGAAATAATTCTTTTTCAAATGAATAAAAATATAATTTTATTTCTCACCAGTTTTTTATGCGAGGGATGTCGGGCATTATGGGAACCCTGAAATCCAAGCTGCCAAGTTCAACAGCCTTGCCAGCCAATCCAGCTCTAGCTGGTGTAGATCAAGGCGATACCAGCCAACATAGCGACAGTGCACCAGAAACGTCAACGTCAACGTCTCCGTTTGCTGAGGTCGAAAACAGTGGGCCACAGAGATCCTATGACTTTAGAGCTAGAGATACTAGTGTAAATACTACTTTACCTTTATGATAGCAAATTCTATTTGCAAAATTTTTAATTGATTCATTGATTGAGATTTTGACAGTGATTGACAGTAAATCCAAGGTGTACCTGTACTAATGGTTTAGTATATTTATGAAATAATGAGTATTAATTATTAGACAGATGGTGATTTGCCACCCCAAAACCAGCATTAGTAACCAAAAAATGAAAATTAACATTTTAATATATTCTTAATCTCGGCATTATTAACTTTAAAATGATGGGTAATTTCCTGAAATTGACTTACTATTGCCAAAGTTATGAGTGAGAGTAGTACAACTCCTCTGTACTGTTAAAGTACTGTATACAATACTGTCACATTCTTAGGTTAATTACTCAGTTTAACAATGACTGGTTTTTGAATGGCAAACCTAATATATTTTAATTTTTAGATTTGGTCGCTGGAATTGGTCGCTGTCTGAACTGCTTGACCGTCAGTTCAATTTGAACTGTAATTTCTTCTGATTTTCTGATTCTAAATGTTTGTATATGGCTGCATATTGTAATTGTGGATATCTTCTGTATTTAATCGTTGGGCATTTATTAGTCTTGGAGTTTTATCGAGTAAACTGTTTTGGATTGTATTTTTCTAACCGGCGTAGCCCTTACCTAATTGCAATAATGGAGAACTATTCAATTGAATGCCCTCGCGATAACGTGCATGTTGACTTGACGCATGGAATGCCCAATACAAAAGATGACAATACCAGGTACATACCTTGCCTTCGTGAGTATGATATACGTTGTTATCAACCATGTTGTATAAGGAACAAGCGTTATAAACGTAAACGTAAGCGAGGTGGGAGGAAATTAAGAAATAAAATCGAAGTGCGAATAAACACAGGTAACTGTTGGAATAATTTTAAACGTAATTCTAGTAGATGCTGGTCTATTGACGAACGGAAACTTAAGAATAACAATCTAATTAATATCAGATTGGAACCGACTGTGTATATACAACTGTAATACAAATTTGTACATGATGTAAATATAAATATCAAATATAGTGGAATTAATCCTTCGACTGTCGAATTGTGATTTTCTTTCTTTTCTTTTATCTGTTGAGATACTTTATTCCTTTATTTATAATGATGGTAATATTGTAGTAGTAATGGTGGTATGATGGTAAGAGTGATAATTATGGTGATTATTGTTGTTATTATTATTGTTATTATTATCGTTGTTATTATTATTATCATTGTTATTATTATTATTATTATTATATATACATTTATATAATTTTGCTGATGATATTTTTAATCTCTTGCTTATCTTGTTTGTTTCATCTTTTTGATGTTTGTAAGCTCAACGTTTTCAGCTGCCGGGCTGCTTGTTGTGCAATTTTATACCATAATAAATAAAAAAAAAAATAAATAAAAAAATAATATCCTACTAAATTATAATTAATTATAGGTTGAAAAGAATGTTGATGTTCTTCTGAAGAGCTTTCTTGAAAGTAAAGCAAGAGAAGCCTCCATTGATCGAGCAACTACTCGAGAGGCTATTCGACAAAAATCAAAGCCAAAAGAAGCAAAAATACAAGATGTGGAGGATGATAAGAATGAACTTAACTATACTGAGATCCCATTGGCTGATATGGCCATGTGTCTGACTTGCGAGATTCTGCATGATTATGGTAATTGGATTGTGAAAGAAACCACCCAGCAGATTGTAGCGGTGGCCTTTGGAAAACTTCTAAATAAGTAAGTTTTTTTTACAATTTTCTCTTTGTTTTTTATTTATACAATTATCCTCAGTTGTCTAGTTGAGTTTTTAAAAACAGTTTTAAATAAACATTTACCATTTAGAGGGTAGAAAATATTGTTGGTCTATTCCCCTGGTTCTCAATATAGGCAACCCAGATTTTATTCCCCATTTGTCTTAGTCTCCTGGAAACCTCCTCCTTACTATGGCTTGGCTCTCTGTATCGGTTGACCTATGTCAGAAATTACAGTTCTTTCGAACACCTTTTTTGAACAACTGATCACCTCCTCCCTTCCATCTTATAGCATGAAATTAAGTTATTTCATTTAAAAATTAAACAAATTTTGATTTTAGATTGCTTGAGGACTCTGTGGATGAGCTTCTAAAGGAAGATATGTGTGCTCGTTACCTCAGGCTCATTAGAAAGTCATTATGGCCAAATGGGCAACTACTTTCCCAACAGAATCCACCCAAAACCGATGAAGAGAAGGAGACAGCTAGAAGAAATGCCTTCCATAGAGTTAAAGACTTCATACCAGGTAGGGTAAAATATGTCAAAAGGCGGTGTCTCATCTTTATTCTCAGTGTCTTGGACTTTCTTATAACCTGATACGATCCCACTTCCTAAACACATACATGTAATTTCATTCTGTGTAAAAGTAGCTGCTGTTGTAATGAAAAAGAAAGCTATATTTTCTTCTGCAATATAATGTTTTTTATGAATAAAGTTTGACCTTTCGAAAGAACAGAAAAGCTTAGGTTAAGATGCCTGTCTTCTAATCTCAGGGTCCTGGGTTCATTTCCTGTCACAGCAGGACTTTTTCTCATGACTAAAAACAACTCCACTCAGTAAGAGTCTTGGTTTATAAAGCATTGTTCCATTCTGTAAGTGGCGAGTGTACTTGCTGATGGATGTGAAGGAATAAAACCAGTCCGTTGATGATGAAATTCTCTCTGAAAGTAAAGCAAGTTTAAAAAAACATTTTTAAACATTAAGTTTCTTCATCTTAGTTATTGCTGAGAATTGTTTTCCCTTTGAATATGTTTACTGTTAATAAAGTGAGCCAATTACTTTTATAATCATTCTATTCTACTATGTGGTCTCATTCATATATTTGTTGACAATCTGTTTATGATCTATATACCTGTAGGTATTGTCAACCAGGTAGTTGGTGAAGAAGAACTAGAGAATTGCCTTCTGTCAGTCCATGCATCGCTGCAAGATCCAAAACTTAATAGGTAAGGCAATCATAGAATACGTACATAGAATACCCTGACTACATCATTCTCATGATGGCTGTCAGAGTATTCTCCTCTTACTAATTATAATAATTATAAATATAATAGTGTACTTCAGTAAAAAATATTACTATGATATCTATTTGATATCTTTTATTCTTGTAGGCATCTGGTGTTTACTCTCATTGATATTTTACTGGATGCATTCATACCAGGAATTGAAGACCCTAACATTCGGGAAAAGTTTATTCAAGAAGCTGCATTATGATGAGAATTCCACAGTATTATTACTAATGAGCAGGGCCCTCGTGAAGCGATGCACTCATTACCAAGAATGCAAGATCCTGACATCGGTAAAAAGTTGATTCAAGAAGCTGCATTATGATGAGATTACCAAATTTTTACTAATGAGCAGTGCCCTCGTGAAGTGATGTACTCGTTACCAGGAATCCAAAATCCTAACATTGGTAGAAAGTTGATTCTAGAAGCTGCATTATGATGAGATTACCAAATTTTTACTAATGAGCAGTGCCCTTGTGAAGTGATGTACTCCTTACCAGGAATCCAAAATCCTAACATTGGTAGAAAGTTGATTCTAGAAGCTGCATTATGATGAGAATAGCACAGTACTACTGAACAATGCCGTCATGACTTTGACTTTATACCAAAGATCCTATAATTACAAGATATCACTCACTGCAATTTTATGTATAACAAATAGAAGCTTCGATGTTCAGTAATAAGAAGCATAAAAGTAATTGTTTTTGAGAGAAGGCATCCATGTTACCACGGTTGTTGCATAATTTGGAAAGCACACTACACTGCATTGTTACAGAATTTGCATGCAGAAATCGCAGAGAAAGCTTTCTTATTATTATATAGTCTTTGCTTTCTACCTAATTCATTCCAGGAATTCATGTTAACATACATAAAATGTGAAATCAAGAAGTTGCATGCAATATAAATGAGAAAACCAGAACACTGATGAACAGCTACTTGTGAATAAACTGACATTCCACCAGATGCATTGCACCAGGAATCCATGATCCTAACAACCATGGAAAGTTTACTCAAGAATAAGGTGTAGTGAAGTGCTCAAATGTGCCCTAGCCCATAATGAGAATGCCACTGAATGGATGAACAGCGCCCTCAATATGCCTGTACTGTGTTAACATTTTAAGTGAACCTCTTGTTCAAGCAATTTGTTATCCTGATTCAAAGCTAAAATTGAAGAATTTGGTGAATACTTGTGTATTGTTTAAACATCAATTTTATTTATTTAATTGATGTTTTAGATGGGGTGTAGCATCTGTTCTGAGTCTGCAAACAAGTTAGCTATAACAAATATATCAAAGACATTTTGGTGGATGAGAATTTCACAAATAAGTCTATTATAAGGCCTAAAATGTTGTAGGCTTATATCATAGATCATTATTTTAACTGTTTACATAATAATTTAGGTGGCAATTTGTTATATTATTCCATATTATAAACATTCTAATATTCTCATTTTATTTTTGTTTTAAGAAATTAATATTATTTTTTAATGATGTTTTTATAAAGAAACTTATTTAGTGAGATTTATTTAAGCTAATCAGTGCAATACTTTGGTTAAAAAAGCCACACATGTTTAAGATACCATTTTTTAAAACCAAAAACCCAAAGATGCTAAATCATTCTTTTTACTGATGTAGAACTGAATAAATATGCATAAGCAAAAAATGAAATGAAATAATGGTGTATTATTTTCTATAAATCTTTTTAATGAAATCATCAAAATATATTATTTTGTTATGTTTTGTTCATTTCTATACCATGTAAAATTGCTGAAGAATTTCAATAATATAATGGCAATTTATATGACCAATCCGTTTTATTCCAAAGTGCTAAAATAGTTGGTTAAGTTTTGATTTTGTATGCAACGTAGAGAAAATCAATCCAAAGGAATTGACTACCAGATATTTGTGTTTTTGAACAAAATTCTGTTTTCTTTATAAATGAATTTGTTTCTGAAATTTATTTAATAAAATGATTTATTTAATGAATATAGATTTTCAATATGTATATAGTATTATATAGTGTAATGATGATGCAATATAATTAAATTGTGTTCTTCATGAATATTAGAATGTTGGTCATAGGTCAGTGACCTACTGAGGATGGTGTTAGTGGTTGCTATAGTGATTCTATCAAGCATTTCTGTGCACCATGTCATTTGTGTTGATAAGGCATGTTGTATAATTTCTTAAGTGTTTGCCAACCAATGCTTAATTGGCCAGAAAGAATAACCAGGCTGTTATTCCCAAGTATTAAGTATTAATATAACAACATTTCACTGGCCAATTCCAACTGGTAAGAGGTGTGATAGTGTCTAATACTTCCCTGTACTTGCCAAGTTTATGTGTACACAAGGAAAAAGGTACTACAGTACCTAAAATCGACTACTGCACTCCTGCCTACGTGAACCGATGTTGCCCTCACAGATCAAAATGGCAAATTTAGACAGTCGGTTTGCTGGTTGATGTATATTATATTTATTTGTATATGTATGTGTGTATATATATATACATATATATATACATTATAACATATATACATACTTTTATAAATACATATATATACTTATATATGT